AGACATCGAGCAGTTGTTAGGTCAAACATGGAGAACTCATCTAAATACAGTACAAAATAATAGCATGAGTGTGTTCGAAAAGCACCCAGCAAAACACATAATTCACATTCTTGACCTATTTTACAGCCGTTTGGCCTCCGTCCCAGAATAACCTTCACACACAAACACACACACCAGCTTGCTGAATGCATGTTAATAAAATGAGGCCACAATGGCTGTAATGACAAAGGGGGAATCATTAGTGGTAACTTTCCTTAGTACAGTAGCTCAGTTAGCTAAGATAGAATAACAAACCAAATAAGCCTATCAATAAAATACTATTGACTGTCATACTCACTGTACTAGTCCCTACAATCATGTCCAGCGCCACGTTGCAAGTTTTTTAATCTCAATCACTACAAGAAGTACAAACTGCAAGAGCCACAGATTTTTATTAGGCTAATACATTAGTAACAATAACAAGCTAAATGAGCTGAAATAATGTCAAATCATGTTTCACCATGTGCTTCCATAGTGCTGCCTCTGTAAATTGGGGTTAGGTTTAAAGTTAGGTTAAGATTAGGTGTCACAAAGTTGACTCGTTGGGGTTAGAGTAGCCCCATGATTCTCAATAATATAGTTGGTCAAATATTGTTCCTTGTGCAAACCTTAGTGGAAATAATCATTAGTTTTCAACTCTTATCATCAGCAGGTCACATTTTCAAAGGTATTTTGTGCTGTTGCAGATGATATACGGATGTACTATGCAGCATTTGGAGTATTAAGTGCTTTGGTCACGAATGGTCCCAGGGATAGGGACAAGGTTGAGAGTAGGTTAAGATAATGGGAAATACTTATTGATAGGGGACACTGGTGTCTGTGCTATTTATACTTGGATAAAGACAGTTTTGTGAAGGAAAATCATTATCTGTATCATACCGAGGTTCGAAAAGATAACACTATGTTTCTGGACTATATGTCTGAGATAAATCATACACTAGCTGGCTGCATAATGTCATTTTCAGTAGCTGATTCTGTGAATAACCGACAGATGCTGAATAGTAAACAGTAGTAGGAATCTTCTAGTTAAAACATCATATCAGTGTTAACCTTATCACCATAAAATCCCTGAATCAGGGAGCTTTTAGGCTCCCCCAGGATTCAGGCAGTGAAGCTGGCAGTCTGTCAAGTTAATGCTAGCTCAGCAGATATAGTGAAGAGCTGTCACCTGAATTGTATCAGACTGGGCCATCAGTCAAATATTTAAACACTGGATTGTTGGTTTATCATTGTTACCATGCAGTGGTGAACAATAAATAGAATTTGAATATGTTGTATGTTGTATGAGTATGTTGTGATTATAATTTGAAGTTTTATTAAATACTAAACTGACCAAAATACAGGTCTGGAATTTGTTATATTTTAATGCTTATTATTTACATTTCATATTTTAGAGCTTTTGAACTAAAATATGTAACAGAAAAGCCTGTGTTATAATTGAGGGATTGGGGTTTATCAGGCTGAGACTCATCAGAAATGTAGGATCCAGTGTTTTTGGAGTTTGACCTAAAAAGTCAGGATATCTTTACTGTCTTGTGAGAGGCATCAATTTTTATGGAAGACCGGTATTCAAATTGTCGGATTGGCCCTTTTAATTGCAGTCTCATGGGTGAGAAGGAGAATATCAAAACATTTAAATGGAATCTTCTTGTGATAGTGTGTTTTTAAATTGTGTTTTATTCTTCCATTTCAAGTCTGAATAGACTACTTTCACCACTGACATTAGCCGAGAAATTATATTCTAACATTCCTCGATTAATCAAACAATAATTGACACTAAACCATCGTTATTTTAAGTAGGCTATCATAGCATTTCCAGTTCCACAGTGTAGGGAAGAATATATGATGCATGTTATGAGTAACTCAAATAAGAAGATGGTGACACAGTGCAAAACACAGTAATTCTTCCTCTCTCGTACCTTGGAGACGATGAGTGGCTCTCCGTGCTCCAGGCCACCCTGCAGGGTGAAGCCCCAGGGCGCTCCTCCCTGCAGCCGGGCCTCCACCAGCACCCAGCCGCCACCGCCTCCTCCTCCTCTTCCGCCCGCCGCCTGCTGGATCCCCGCCCGGGCGCCGCCATAGTCGCTCTCCATGCCCGGCGAGGGAGCGCTCACTCCGGGTTCCTCTGTCCTCAGCCCGGTTGCGGCCCGGCGGACTGAGGGGGGGGTGGGGGGGCGTACTGAAGAAAACGATCTGTTCTTCACGATCGCATTTCCTTCATTCATTTATAACTCCTCGTTAAGAAAAGTGAAACAGGAGGTGTCCGAGCAACAAGCTATGCTTCCTGCAAAGTGCATTTCTGAAGCGCAGACTGCGACTGGTCCTCCGACGGACAGGCTTTCCGCAACAGAACGAAACTAGCCGCAGGTTTCAAAGTTTACTGAGAGGAGAGAGTGGTAAAACTCTAAGATGAACGAAGGTCACATCAGATTTGTTCAAACAGAAATACACCCCCCTCAACTCTCTCTCTCCCTCTCTCCCTCTCTCTCTCTCTCTCTCTCTCTCTCTCTCTCTCCCTCTCTCGAAAATCAGTTTAGCATCACAATGGGATTTACTGCGACTCACTGAGCGAAGAGAAAAGACACACACACACACACACACACAGAGGTGGAGTGAGGTAGAGTGACACAGAGAGAGAGGAAGAGACAGCGGGACAGGAGAGAAGAGAGAAAGAAGTTAGAAAGAAGAAACAGAGGAGGGTAGGAAAGAAAGAAAGAAAGAAAGAAAGAAAGAAAGAAAGAAAGAAAGAAAAGACGAGAGCTGCGAATAAAAGAGGGACAGGACTGAAAGCAGTGTTTCCTCTGTGTGTTGTAATCCAATCCTCCACAGCAGAGCTGAACTCTGCAGCTGTAGGTCTGGCACTGTTTCCATTCACACTTGAACCAGATTAGTAGGCTGAGTCAGACTAGTGGATAAACATGATTCACAATAAACTGACAACCAGAGTTTACATCAACTGTTTGATGATGAGGGTCAGGTCAGTAAATTTCTCATCAGCAAACATATATTTAGGCCTCAGTATGTTTCAAATTATCTACTTTCTCCAACCATCATCAGCTTAGCTCGTCAACCAGCATCAAACAATTTATAGTTACAGTATATTATTGGACAATTTGACATTTTGACCAAGATTAATGGATGGGGGGGAATGTCTGTACCAAATTTCTATGCAATCCATCCAGTTTTTGTTAGACATTTCACTTAAAAAACAACAAATACCAGCCTCATGGAGGAGCTAAAGGAAAAATCAGGATGGGGATCAATTATACATCTGATCAGGCCTGAGAATGTTTTAGGGTGAAGAGCTGGAGGATGGGAAGAAGGATGTCGAGGTTACCTTATATAACTTTTTGCCACCACGGCCTGATGGCTGACATTTTTATGTGTCTGCGCCGCCAACAGCTGTCGGTTCCATTTTCATGGACATGATATCTCAGTAACGCCTTGACAGAACTTCAAATTTGGCACAAACATTCACTTGGACTAAAGGACATTCTAATTACATTTTGGTGGTCAAAGGTCAACATGATTTTGGCCTTGTGAATGCAATATCTTGAGAACTCCTCAAGGGAATCCCTTTAGATTTTGCACAAATGTCCACTTGGACTCAATGATGAACACTTTTTAGCCAATTAGAAGGTTGTATGAACCCTACTCTGACCCTGTATTCTGTAAAGTTTGTAATGTGAAAATTATACAGAAACAAGCATATAAAGATACAACTTCTTTAAATGCAGCTGCTGTTGCAACTGCACTGTTGCTAACTTCAGTTGCCAGCTGCAAGTCCCACTGAGGATGTAGGTGTCCTGCATGGGACAGGTTTTACAAATCAGTAGCCACCCTTTTACAAGTATGAAGTATCTCTGAATCACTTACAGTCAAGTAAGTAACCTGTAATCTAACTGGCCCAAACCTGGCTGCTGGCGTAGGCAGTACCGGTAAAGGGCACTAGGGTGTTTTATGCATTTCATGCAGAGTTTAGTTTCGCTATGACAGCTGTGATAGTTACACAATCACAGTCATTCAACACCGTTGATACGAAAATAAAATTCTAGTAAAGCAGTCATCCTTTAGAGCTGGGTGTGTTGGTACTAGGGAATGTGGTTTGATTCAAGTGAAATCAAAGGTATCAGCTAACAGGAGTCACAGGTGGCAGGGGCTTTATAAAGAAGCCAGAAGAGTCCGGTTTCTGAATAAAAAAGGTTCAGGTAACACAAGGTATTTCATTAAATGTCAGGAGTCTTAAGGTACAGTGATGTTTTTCGCCTGAAGCTCAGTCTGATGGATGTAAGTTAAACAGAAGACAGATGAGCCTGTCTGTCTGTCTTCTGTGTCTGTGGCTCTCTGTCTCACAGTCAAATAAGCCTTACTGACACGACAAGATGAATTGAAACTTGAAATGAAATGAAATTTTAGGGCTTAAAGGTAAATTCAACAGCATCTTATTTTCATCAACTGAGGACTTAGGAGAGCTTATAGTCAAGAATTATTCTGTCATACTATCAAAAACTCCAGACCAAGCTAGTAAGTGGACCCTGAGTTGAGCTTTTGTCTCTGAATGGGAAATAGAGATATCTGATTACTTTGTAAAGTTTCATTTTTAGTTTTTCCTTTGAGTGCTGAGGAAGAGGCAACAGTGTACGTGGCTGGTGATCACAGATCACCACCTAGAGGAAGATCAGAGAATCACAATCAACTGTTGAACATGTTATTGCAGATGATACATTTTATCTTCCCAAATGGAAACACAAGGGCTGCAGTTGAAAAGTCTTTTTTGTTTAGGAAGGTTCCTAACTAAGTGAAATGATGTATCTAAATGAAATGAAGCATCTAGGCGATAAGAGCTGGTCGAATTCTCTAAATGATAAGGAAAGGAGCTTCAGTGCTTCCTATCTTATCTCCTTTAGCATAGGAAACACTGGGACCTTCTTTTATGAAAGGAACGGAGAAATGCCATCCCACAATTCCTTGCCACAGCAACATTTAATGTGATGCACCATTGCATTTTCCCCTCGGCAGACCAGAACAGAACAGAGCACCTGTTTTATGTTTGTGATTGGAAATGCAGTTATTGTGATTCTGATAAGGCACTAAGTCAAATTTTAACAAATGTGCAAACAACAGAGAAAGGATATAAAATTATTCTTATATAAATGTGCAATACAAGAAAAAAAAATCACAAATGTTTCACAGCCAGTACTACAAAATAACCATAATTGCTTCAAGAAATTTAGATTCAACCATAACCTAAATATTTAAAACTGAACAGGAATAGAATTTTTAAAAACCTTTTACATGCATAGATTAAAAAAAAAAAAAGACAACTTACAGATCTATAAACTTTAAATATTTTTACAACTGATAGTAAGCTTGACATTGGAATAAAACTTTGTTGATTAAAAAAGAAAAGCTAAATATAACATCTCAGAGTGATGTCATATTTAAAAGTACAGTGCTTAAATGGTCGAATTTCACATTTTCATGATAACATGTCCAAGAATGAAGCACATTTAAAAGTGAACTGTGGTTACATTTTGACAAAATTAGTTGACTAATGACTGACAGTCTTCAAACTCTTTCAACATTTCAAAAAACTTCTTTGGTAATAATGTCGATTTCCCCCATAAGTGCTTACACTAAAATAAATAAAGAGGTACATTACATGTCGAAGAAGTTTGTTTGAATTGCCTTTCTGAATTTTAGTTCTTCAGAAAACTAAAGTGACAAAAGTGAGTTTTTAATGTCTGAATTGTTCTGTAAGCATCAAAATCATGTCTCAAATTCACCAGGAAACTAGAGGTTGGCATCTTTCGATGAAGACTGAAGATAGCTGTAAAAATGTCATGTTCAACTGAATGAACTGAACATTCAGCTGAACAAAAACATTTCTCTTGAACAACACAAAGCATTAGACACTGGTAGATTTCTTGGAAAGGTCTGAACATTACCTTTAGTAAAAGTGTACATTGAGCACAGGGAATGATTTCATGCAATTTTGTCTTTTGTGAATGCTCTCTGGATCAAGTTTTGGCAACAAAGCTAGTCACAACAAATTTGAAAATACTATAGTGCTTTCAAAATACTTCTTTCTGTTGTGGTTTTATCCACACTAGTGACATCCAGACGGAGTTGTAAATCAACCCAACATGGTCCAGTATGTCATATGACTTTGGTGATCCCCTGATGTTTCTCATGTCAATAAAAATGTCCACTTGCCAAACACTTTCATGACAGAATGTCCCTAGGTCTAATACTGAGATGCAAACCTTTTGCATTTTAAAATGCTACCTTTGACAAGTTAATATGCTGGTGTGTAGTAAAGCATGTAACTTGTTTTTATTAGCGAAAATGAAATGCTAATTGTTCATGTCTGTTGAAATCTGAACATTAAATTTGAGAACCAATTCTAAGTGGCAAAGTTCCACATGCAAGCATTAGTAATGGCATGTTAACATGCAAGCAGATACATTAGTATATTGTCAGCATGTCACTGCATGATCAATGTGTATTTAAAAGCTAAAATATGCTAACATGTTAGTTACATTGGGCTGAAAGTCCAGCAAAGGTGACAAAGTTCAGTTTAGAAGTAAGTAGTAGTCGCTAGTAGTATGCTGATGTCTCGGTAGCTATCAATTTAATCCTTTAAGCAAAATGACAGCAACAACTTATTGGACTGTCAGCGGCCTGTAACTTAGAATGAGATGACAGTTGGTGAATTATGATGGCTAAAGCAACAAGAATAAGACTCAATTAGAAAAAAATCACTTCACTGATTCCGACTTAAGCTCCTCAAACAGGAAACACTAAACTTCCTCTGACACGCTGTGGATCGTCTCAATGATCTTCTTCTTCAGTTTTTTCACTTTTTCTGGCGGCATCTCATTCAGACACTCCTCAACGTATTTCATGAACCCGGCGTGCGGTGACACCGCTCGACTTTGACAGAACATCCTCATGAAATCCAGCATTTCGTTCATGTTGGGTGACGCCAGGCGGCTTGCTCGTTTGCGGCCCGACAATCGGCTGTTAGTATGAGAGGAGGATGTGGAGGGGGATGGGGAGGAAGAGGGGGACGAGTGCTGAGAGTCTGGGGGAGTAGGTGAGGGTGGGGCTTTAAGGCTTCGTGGTGTGATGTTCCCTTTGGTAGCAGTTTGAGTGGCAGTATGGTAGTGTAGGGAGGAGGGTGGGGCTTGGCTGTCCAGATGGAGGAGGCCGGATTCCTCCGGTTGGTGGCAGTGGAGGCCTTCAGGTCGCTCATCCTCATCACAGGAGTCACAGAGGAACATCAGCTCCCGGTAGTGTTTCCACTTTGGAAGGTAAAAGTCCTCTGATCCACATGTTTTGTTTGAGCTCACCACCTTGTGCTCACGTTGGAAAATGGTTCGCAAGTTCCTGAACTTTGTCTTGATGTCTTCCACTGAAGAATAATGAATAATGGCAGAGAGTACAGATTTTAACATACACAGTATTTATACTTGATCAATTGTTTTTGTCATTTAACTTTAAACAACTGAGACAAACAGCCTGAACTTGTTAGTCTCTGCTGATAAAATCCCTTTTGGCAAATGGTGTAAAGAATTATTTAGTTGAGATCATAGCTTGATTTGAACTTTGAATGTTTCTCATGATCAAAGTTGTCTTGTCTCCCAAAGGTTTCTCAACAAAACAATAACACCAACTCCATCATCTTTACCTGTGAATGGGACCGGCTCATTTTCAGACAGGAGGCGGCTCAGAGTCTCCAACAGACTCTGTCTGAGTAGACGGTTTCTGTAGCTCTCTGACTTGTGGTTCCACAGACAGCTTTGCTCTGGAAGAAGGGAGACACCTTCAATTCTCAGATTAACACAAAATAAAAACACTTTCTGTGACATGTCCCTCCTGTATTAGTCTCTCATGTCATGTAAGATTGTTTACATGACACCAGCGACTCCTGAAACCAGCTCCCAGATACTCACTTATCCCATCCTTACCTTATTGTGGGCAGTATTCATTAAACTTCCTCACACCAAAAGTAGCTCCTAAAAATAAGGGCTGTGTCAGTCCTAACGTCCTAAGCTTTTACTCTAAGTGTATTTCACAAGACATTTATAATATGCAATAAACCAAGCTCCTGTAATAAGAGGTGGTCCATGCACTTCAAGTCACTAAAACCTACTTACAATCAATCAACTGCTGTCGTTGCGTAGCATAGGATCATATCATAATGTTCATGATGATACCAGAGTAAATCTTAATGTGACAAAAAAATGTTCACATCACAGTATTACATGTTGACGTATTTTATGTTTTTACATTATGCATATGAACAGCAAAAGAAATTATATTATTACAATTAGTTTATGATTGTATTTGTTTTTTTCAGTTATTGTTGAACAACTTTCACTAAATTTACAATTCTTCCCATTTGAACAAGTGAAACAAGAGAGTGAAGTAAATGTCAATCAGGCCTGGTCAGTACTGACCGTCACAGTCTTACATTTAACAAATTCACCAACAACTTCAATCACTTGAACCTCAACAATTCGATTGATTCTATTCGATTCAATTCAATTCAATTCAATAAACTTTATTTGTCCCCAGGGGCAATTTAAAAGGCACAATGATACCACCTACCAGAGTAAAATGATATGAGTTGCTGAACTTTGTCCTCACTCCAGTGGCAGCGGGGGTCTGTGCTCAGTCTGCTGTCTGACTGAACTGGACCGGATACAGAGAAATTTAGAGGAGAGGGCTTTGTACAAGGTTTGGTGTCTAGTGATGAAGTAGATAGAGAGACTGGGAGTGTGGAAGGAGCTGTTTGACTTGCTAGATTGAGACTGTCTGGAGATGCAGAGATTAGGATTTGGTATGCAGCGGTATGGGTTTTGTCGTTGCTCTGACTGGAGTTGGAGAGAGCAGAGTTTTTATTGACCTTGATGCTATTGGTTTGGGTGGAACTGGAAGACAGGCTGCTTAGGGTGGAAGATGGTGTTTGGTTTCCATTGTCTAGGTCCTCGTCTTCCTGTGGCATTAGTATCTGTAGGTTGTCTGTGCTGTTGTCTTCATCGCAGGACTCACAGAGGAAGAACAGCTGCTGGTAGTGTTTCCATTTGGACACGTAGAGTTTGTTAGACACCCCGCTCGCCTGGACCGCCTTATATTCACGGTTAAAAACTGTCCGAAGGTTCTTGAATTTGCACTTTATGTCTTCGACTGCAAAACACCAACAAGGAGTCACATTACATGAGTCCACGAATTAATACTCACATCTTCTACCTAAACTTGTTTCTCATATGAATGTTTTTTTCCTGTTAGATTTGAGTTAGTTGTTCTTTGTTGCGCCATTAACTTAACTCAACCTTAATTAAGGAGTGTTTTCTTTATATCAGTGTAAAATGTGAAAGTGTCTCAGTGGCAAACTCTGCAGTTATAAAGTGCTTTTTGGACTCTTTTAGCTTGTAGTTTCAGTTTCACAGAATATTAGAATGTGGTTCAGTCACAGTACTCAAATCAAACCTGTTTCCAGCAGCAGCAGGCGGCTGTTTTCACCAAAGAAGCTCTAATAAACCCACTGTACACTTCCTGCCCTGCACCACAGCAGATAGACACAGTTAGAGATTGGCTGGTGAAGAAAGTGGAACATTTAAGCAGTTAAGGAGACTTATTTTTCTCAGGAGTTGGTAGAGATGTTGCTCTTAGTCTATAGAATGTGGACATTGACAGCTGTTTGCAAACATGTTTGCCATTAAAACAGCTGTCTGATAATCTGAAATCTTCTTATGTAGTTTAACTGCTGTAAAAAAAAAAAAAAGAAAAATCAAGCTTTCATTCCTCATTTGATGAGACCATCTCAGATTCTTACGTACATAGATCCCGCACCCTTTTTGCTATCACTATAAATCTATAATTCTACTGGTTTTAAAATGATGTTTGGGACATCCCATTCACTTGAATGGGAAAGTGGTGTCAGACTTTTTGACCCCACTGTATCTGCACATTATAAAGCTTATCCATCTGCCCTGTAATTCTGTGCAGGATCTCCGGCTACAGTACAGGTTGCTGGCAGGTTACAGTCACAGGTTTTAGTTTTGATCTCTTTACAACCATGAGATGGTATCATTGTCACTGGGATGACAAGAAATTACGAAACTGCACATAATCACTGCGCCTGGCTATTATTCAGCCAAAATGTATAAATGAATGTAAAAGTAATGGTTCCTTTACCAAATAACATGTAACCCTCTGGCAAAGAGTACCTGAATGTGCAAATACTGCCAACTCTTTTACTGTAAGCTCCAATAGGAGTTAAACCACTAACCCTTATGATGATGTGATGGGATGTAACCATTAAAAGAAACAGGACCATGTAACATTTACCTGTGAAAGACACTGAGTGATCAGACAGCTGGCCTCTCAGAGCCTCCAGTAGACTCAGTCTGAGCTGACGGTTGTTGTGGTTTTCAGACTTCTTGTTCCACAAACAGTTGTGCTCTGTGCACAACAACACACAACAATAACTTCAATCAGCTATCAAATACTGTCACTGTAAGAATCCAACTTGTCATTAGGTTTTTTTCTATATCAATACCTGTGTACTTACTAAAGTAAGTAAGTAAGTAATAATAAGTAATGTTTTTGAAGCTGTAATCAGTGCTTTGTTTACCGGAATAAAAGGCTATCAGGGCACGCTCCCTCTCTTCAGTCCAGTAACATTTAACCATCATGTTGGAGGGAACGCAGGAAGATGAGGTGGAGGGGAAGGAGGTGGATGGGGTGGGAAGGAAGGAGATGATCAGTCCTGGTGATGTAAGGACAGACTGTGTCTCCGCCTGTGGAAGAGTCAGCGGCGACAGTGGCTGCTCATCAACACAGTCATCCTGGTCCCAGCAGCCCTGCAGGAACATCAGCTGCTGGTAGTGTTTCCACTGTGGCACAAACACATCTTCTCCCTTGCACACCTTGCTTGCCTTTACCATTTTGTACTGACGCTGAAAGGTGGTACGAAGGTTCTTGAACTTATTCTTAATGTCTTCCACTGGAAAGAAGTTTAAGATTAGATTTAATTTCCTCCAGAATGCAGCTTTGAGAGTGAGAAAATCTACCTGCAGCCTTACCTGTGAAGGGAACAGGTGGGGGGTGGGCTGACAGAAGGATCCTCAGGTGTTCCAGAGTTTTCCATCGCAGCTGTCTGTTCTTGTAGCTCTCAGACTTGTGGTTCCACAGACAACTGTGCTCTGGGAAATGAAAACAAACCAAATCCTTGACCACTGCAACATTGCTGAACACATCTGTTTGTTCTTGGCTAATGTTGCATCATACAAAATGCTTGACAGTGTCATACATCAAGTTCAACAAGACATTTGTCTGGAACACCTTAAAAAATATTTAAGTAGTTTAAAAAATCGCTTAAAGTTAAACTTAAAGTGACCAAAGTTAGTCTGTTGTAAGCCAGTCGATATACAATGTTACCAGCCTACAAATAGTGACAAATATTATGTACATTTGAAATATGCCAATTCTGGTAATGATTTTTTTGTTTTCTTTGTAGTAACACACATTGTATACAAGTACAAAGTAACGTGTATGTTGTCATACATGAGTCTTTAGTCATTAAATGTGGAGTTTCACTCACCATAGATTCTGAACAATTATTGTATAATGTGCGCTATACTTGAGAGTAAAATGTCTAGAATAATTATCAATTAAAGGTATGGCTACAAATGAAGTTAATTAGATGTAACAAAAACGTATGTATTCACTGTAACTTAGACGTTCGGTACAGAGTAATAACAATAATATAGATCTGAAATTATGTGGATTTTTACTCATTCACTCTATTTCCAAAGAATTAAATTAAATTAGAAAGATTTCAAACTTCGTTGATTTCTTATATTTATATTAAGACCTACATACGACAAGTTCAGAAACCATAAACAAAGATCAATAAGCCGTTGTTGACGTATTTCAGAGGAGTAACCTGCTAACTTGACTTCAGTTGCTGGTCGCCATTGCTATTGTCTGTCCGTATCGCTCATCGCTAACAGCCATCGGTCTCATCTAGCAACGGTTGCCACAAAATGTTGAAGCTTCCCACAAAACATCGAGGAAACCATAAACTTTTCATGTACTGAACCACAAAAAGCTGCTGTTGTAAAGCTGACTTACTGGAGAAAAACGCTATGAGCGCCCTCTCTTTCTCCTCCGTCCAGTATCTCTCTAGTGTGAAGCTGAACGGTGACACCTCCATAGTTGTTGTTGCCATTTGGTCGTCTTCACCCGGCTGCTAGGTCACATGACCCAAAATCCAGTCTAGGATTGGACGATTTCTGGATATTCCCGAACAATAACCCACATTGCCCAGTAGAGGTCACTAACCGTATGACAACATCACAACACACAGAGGCACTTCTATCTTCTTCTACATTTAATGTCCTTTTTTTTCTTCAAATAAGTTAAATACTACGCAGTTGATGATTTAATTAAAGATGATTTAAATGTAAATATTCTAAATTATTTCAATAACATTAAGACAAAACAAAATATATGTATTTAAAAATATTAATAATTAATAATGTGAATAGAATAAATGTCCAGATTTAAAGTTCATTATTGAATGAATCCTTGACCTTGGAAACAGCAGTTGACTGTCTCCATGCAAAGTCCATTTAGCAGCTGTTCTGGATCTTTTTTTCATTTTAAGAATGAACCTTCAATCTCATAAATCACATCAATCCTAATCCCATCAATCAAGATTTTAAAACAGGATGGAGGGGAAGTCCTTAACATGCTCAAAAAAATGCAAATTCGAACATGTCCATGACAAATAGACCTCTTTATCTTCTGAGGAAGATCATGTAATACAATTTAAACTAATGGGCCCTGTGGTGACATTGTTTTGTCATCTGGTCTGCCAAAGGTTGGGACTTTCAATTTCAAATTTCTTTTAATAAAAAATAAACACAATATTGTTAATAATAGTAACAGTAAATCGTTAAGTAGAATTTATTAAAATCTAGACATTGTTAATGTATTCAGAGCTCTTTCAGCAGGAATTCAAGGAACTCAGGGGGATGTAAGGATGTGAAAAACAACAACCAGCTGTAATTTGGAAAAAAGAGAAAAATATAAAGCACATCATGCAAGTGTTGCTCTGTTTTAATTTCCAATAACCAACAAATTGGTGGTACAACTCCAGACAAGACACTAGACAAAGTGTATTTACAGTGAATCCCCACATCTATTTAATTGCATCACATGTACAGACATCCAATCCATGTACAATATTTACACTGATGAGTCAGTTTTACTGCTGCTGAACCAACTGAGCAAGTGCCGTCAAGTAAATAACATAACAGTATTCAAATGCACGTTAATATCCTACTTATGATCTGGGTTTTTGAGTATTTGCTCGTACAAACATCATATCATGGCTAAAGAAACCAGGATTATCATCTTGGTTTTCATAGGTCTAAATGTGATTTGGGTTATTTCAAAAGAAACTGGTATACTAAAAAATACTAGAAGACTAGAAGAAGCAAAATACCTCAAATGATAATGGTAGAAAAAACGGGTGCCTTTGTCGTTATGGAAATGAAATAAAACTTTTTTTTTCATTAATGAAAGAGCAAAGACAATAAATTAGATGGCAGAACTCATTGAAATACAGATATGTTTAAATCTGTAGAATGGCAAATAAATTAATCTGGTTCAGCACCATTCAAACATTATTTAAAAAATCACAAACCAAATATGACCACAGACAGAAAAGTGTTCATGTAAACACTCAGGTGAAGGTATCTGTTTCAAAGAGTAATCTGAACGAACACGAACAACAAAAGTAGAATGATTGTTGGTCTTTTATAACGGTTTAGCTCCACAAGGGAAACTGAACCCCCCCCACCCACCCAGCCAGACTGTGATTGTGTCATTGAGCTTCACAGGACAAAACAATGATGGAAAACCTTCTTATAAGCCCCAACAAACCAGCCAGTCCCACACTTCACCTACATAACATACAAACCATAATATTCACGTGTAGCCTTACATTTTAAGGTCATAAAGCAAATAACTATGTACACTCTGTGCCATTTATGTACTGTTAAACTCTTCAGCATTTGTTCCTAATCTTCTCTAAAGCTTTTGTAAAATCTCTGTCTGATGCTTCAAGTATATGTTCATTCACAGGAATATCACTGCTGTCAGGGAAAAACCTCACAAATAACTGTCCAGCTGACCTCAATGTTTTTCTAATCATACAATGAAGGACTGTCGGTTACGAGAAACCCTTAGCACACAAATGCCCAACTGATCTCACAGTTTAAAGGAAACACTAGACTTGTAACACAAGGGTCCAAGCACCCGGCGCAACTTGGAATCAAAGGCACACTGACCCTAGGCAATCAGAACTCCATGGTGTCATGCTGCCAACTAGTTGTATTTCTAAACCTACATTCTGGAGAGGCAGTAGATGAGAGCATGACACTATGGGAAGCCAAGTTATGTTATAAATTAATTTTATATATTATAAAAGTCAGATTTTCTATATGTGCAAACCGCATTTGGTGAGATTTAAACAATGTACTGCTGAGCTAACAGCAACATTGTGTCATAGTGCCACCAAGTTTGGTATGGAACATCTGGAGTACTCACAGGATGTGCACACCAAATCTGGTGTCATTGAAAATCCATTGGTGACCTGGAGCTAAATCATTATCATTGTTCAAAAATGTATGACAGTGCCACCTGCAATCCAGTTAGCACCAATTGGATATACACACCAAAACTGGTGACATTTTAAGAATGTAATCCTGAGATAAAAGACAAAGTGTGTTACAATGCCAGTTATTGTTGGACTTGCACCAAATCAGACAATCTATTGTGAGGTAAGTATTTTTCTAGTATTTTACTTGCAAAGTTCACATATATACCTTCAACAGTTTGAGCTGCAGAACCACCTTTCACTGAAATTAAAAACAAGTATGAGCAAACACTGCTGGTACTTGGACTGCTAAAAAGTTAAACACTGAGGCTTTCCCTCTGCCAACAGCCAGCAGCACTTTCATAAAGTGACTCTGATATAAAAATGAGTGACTGAATATGAGTAAAGCCAGGTTGAGTGTGATTTAAAAACGCTTATCTGAGGTAGAGTGACAAACAACTGGTCAAATTAAAAGTAAAAACTATCCAGTGATGTGTTTAATGTAACTTCTGTATCATTCAGGATTTCTTTTATTTCTCATAATTACAATTAAAGACGAAACTTGGCTAAGCAAATGACCGTGAGATGAAAATACTGATTAAAATTGATATTTTGACCTGTTGGATTTCAGGTGGTTGACTCATCTCTCAGGTCTTCACATTCATACTTTAGCATCGATAGCTAATACAAGGTTAGATACTGTACAAAAACAATAAAAATCCCCTAACCCTGGCTAAAAGAAAAAACTGTAACAAAAAAGTGTTATTCAACAAAATAGTGTATAAGTCAACACTGATGTTTTGGCTGCTGTAAATATGTTGCAGATATGTTTCCTTTGTACAAATACCAGTAAGAAATGAAACACAACATTAAAATACAGCTTCAAAATGATACAGCTGAAGGTAAAAACACCTTTTCTTGTTTATCACAAAAACAATCAACAACTTCAAGCTTTAAGATGAACAATAATCCTCCCATGTAAATCTTAAAGATATTTCTCTCTAACTTCAGATAATTTTATGTGGGTTTATCCTAAAACCGCAACCATCCCATTAAAAAAGACAGTTGGTCCCTCCTCTTGTCAATCAAATAATGGCTTCTGTTGAAACTGTGGTCTTCCTGTTGGCCCCAATCAAATAATCATTTCCTCTGTCCAATCAAACCATGACATCTTATGACATCTTATTGGCAGCTCTTTGCTCCCGCCCCCTCATTTAAGAACCATCCTTATTGGTTGCACACAAGATGTTACTTCCTCTGCTCCTGGTCAGTGAAGCAATATGTTAGTTCCTCCTGCTGGCAAAGACTTCTAAAGTATGCGTAGTCCCGCCCTGTGGCAAACGAGTTACTGGTTCTTTGTCTTTTTTTGCAAAATGTCAATCAATAAAACAATGATGTTATCTGACCCTCTGTGGTTCTTCAACCTGTCCGTCAAACAATACTGTCCTGCAGCAGTGGCTCGAAGTCCTCATCACTGGCAGTGGGAGGGGTCTCCTCATCACTGCCTGGAAGGGGCGTGTTGATGTGGATGCCAGCCAGCGAGGACATTGACTCTTTGCTGTCTGGGTGGGGCTTGTCGCTGAGGGACAGCTGGGATGAAGAGGAGGAGCAGGAGGGTTTCTCAGGGATGAAGAGAGCAACAAGGAACGCGACGACCACAGTACACGCTCCCAACAAGAAAGGCGGGCCAGGGATGAGCGCTCGCTGAGAAAAACAGAAAAAGAGAGATCATTTTTTCCTTTCTTTTTTTCATTTTTTATCTTTCATCTGGAGCAGAACTGACTTGAAGTATGTCTAATATTGCTGCTTTTTTCAAATTTGATTTTCATTTTCATTTAACACATTTAATTGTACTCAACTGAAACTGCACTGACCTGAGTGCAAAATATTCTTTATGCATCAACCTAGTCATGAGGAACTAAGATAAGTTTATAAATGTGGCCCTAAGGAACAAATGAAATCATATTTATTTATTACATAATTTTTGTAGTTTTTTGCAAAGGGTTTTTAAATTTATTTTTAATAGTTTAAAAAATATTAAATTACATTGCTCCCATTTAGTTTCTCACTTTTCCAGATAGCGAGCACAGTGAAGTATAGATCAGATATATACAGCATGCTGTAGGGAGGACAGAAGACCTAGGGGTTTGCATGCAATGTAAGATGGCCTCCATCTTACATTGCATGCGTCTCTCCACAACAGTCCTGAGTGAGTCCACACTCCTGCCAAGCACAGATCCAGTCTTTTTTACCAGCTTGTCCAGTCTCTTGTGGCATAAAGGAGTACACTGGCCACCAGTGACTGATAAAACATGTGCAGCATTTCACTACAGACATCAAAGGACCTGAGCTTCCTGAGGAAAAAGAACCGGCTCTGCCCCTTCAGGCAGATGGCATCAGGGACCAGTCCTACTGTCCAGGTGCACACCTAGATATTTATAAGTGTGCACCACCTCAATGTCCTTCCCTCGAATGTTGACTGGCTGAAGGGTGGGCTTAGACCTCCGAAAGTCCATGACCATCTCCTTGGTCTTTGGAGGTGTTCAGAAGGAGGCAGTTCTTGTCGCTCCATTTACTGAAGGCTATCGTCAGATCCCTGTACTCCTCTTCCTGCCTGTTCCTGATATGCGCCACAATAGTTGTGTCATCCAAGTATTTCTGGATGTGGCAAGACTCATAATGGTATTTTAAGTCTGCCGTATACAGGGTGAACAGGAATGGAGCCAGAACAGTCCCCTGTGGAGCCCCAGTGCTGCTGATCACTGACCCTGAGACACAGCCTGATGTACTGTGGTTGTCTTGTCAGGTAATCCACAATCCAGGACGTGAAGCAGGGATCCACCCCCATCCCTTCCCTTCTTGTCTTTAAGAATGTGGGGTTCGATGGTGTTAAATGCACTTGAGAAATCAAAGAACATAGTCCTCATGTAACTACCTGGCTCATGCAAGTAAGAATGGGCATGTAAAAGACGGCATCATCCACTGGCTGTTCTTCTCTTTATAGCCAGTGATGGTCCTCATCCCCTTCCACACCTCTCTGGTGCTGTTGTGCTGCAGTTTCTCTCTACTTTACTTTTATAGTCTTCCTTCGCCTGCTTTAATCTCCTCTTCAGCTCATGTTGCACATACCTGAGCTTGGTCTCTGGGGTCCAGTGCCCAAATGAGCGGGTGGTTGCAGCCTGCCTCAGTACACAGGGTTTGTAGGAAGGCTGAAGGAAAACCAGATGATGATCTGATCTGCCAAGTGGTGGTAGAGCTGAAGCAGTGGAGGCCTCCTTGACATTTGCATACAACAGATCAAGTGTCTTGTGGGACAGTCAATATACTGAGTGAAGCCAGTCAGGTGAGGTGTGACAGTAACATGGTTAAAATCCCCCGATATTGCAATGAATGCATCAGGGTGCTGGGTCTGCACTCTAGCAACAGTCTCGTGGATGATGTCACACGCAACTACAAGCTCTGCTGGTGGTTGAATGTAAACAACAATGGCAACGATGTGAGAGAATTCCTTCAATACATAGTACGGTCTAAGACCAACTGCCAACAGTTCAATATCCCAACAGCAGATCTTCTGTGATATGACTGCGGTTGTACCATCTATTGTTTACAAGTAGAACCAGTCCTCCACCTTTATTCTTTCCATTTGCTCTGGCGTCTCTGTCCACTTTAATCAGGTCTCCATGCAACACATTAGACTATACTCACGATATGCTCGCTGGTTATTCACAAGTACGTCCAGTTCATCATACTTGTTAGCCAGGGAGTTGACATTACCCATGAGGATTGATGGTAGAAAAGGCCTATATCTCCATATCCTAGCCTTTAGCTTAGCCCCGGCTCTGCATCCATGGTACAGCTTCTTCAGCTCAGCCGGTATGGGATGTTTAACTCAAAATCTGGTACACTTTAAAGCCAGGAGTAATATATACAAATATATTGCAAAAACAATACAAGCTACGCAGACTTACTGCCACTTGTTGCCAGCGCATCCAAGACGTTTTCTCTGGCCATCGGGCTGTCCGACAATCCCAAACCTCACACACTACATCTATTACTGTCCAAAATACTGTGCAGGTGAAACAGATCGTTGTTACAAGTACCTCAGTGGGACTATGCAGAGGCAGGGGGTCGATGCTGTAGTCTCCCTGTATGGGGTCCATGGTGTTGAGCTCAACATTGAATAGGAAGAAGATGAATCCATAGAGAGCTGGGCCCAGACCATTACAGAGACCTCTGATCCCTGTGATCATCCCCTGAACCACACCTGAAGGGGAAGGAGACAGCTCAGCTTTTTGCTGACACAGTAAACATATTTTTAGAATGAGAGAAGAGGAGAGGAGAGGAGTAGAGAGGAGATAGGAGGAGAGGAGAGGAAAGGAGATTTTCTTTCTCACCTTGTTTATCACGATCAGCAGACTGTGACACCAGAGCAGAAACAGCTGGGAAGGTGATGGAGGACATCGCTGCTACAGCACCAGCCGCCCACATCATCCTGTTAACACACATACACACATGGTTAAACACACACACACACACACACACACACACACACACACACACACACACACACACACACACACACACACACACACACACACACACATACATAAACATTCGTTTTGAATATACAAACGAGTATGTAGGCAGGTAAAAAGGGTTATATAAAACACAATTGCATCATTTGTACTCGAGTACCAGTAAAAGTATTGCTAGTTTTATACTCTGCTCCACCAGCAGTGAACAAATATATCAATCAGTAGAATCATTTCTAAGTCTGATTAATCATTTCTTATGACATTAGGCAGCTATATTTCCTCTATTTTCAACTATAACCCGTTGTACTTGGTTAGATGATGAGATTAGAGTCGGGGGATAGTTTAACCTCTAATGTATAATACAGATTGCTGGTAGGATCTTAGGCAGTTGGTGGCTGTGGTAACATCTCACTGTTTACACCTGTACAATCAATGTAGGCTTCCACAGAAACCAACAACACACACACACACACACACACACACACACACACCCACACACACACACACACACACACACACACACACACACGCAGATCTCACCATGGCTCTGATCCAAAGCCGTACCAGGCCAGCTGAAGGATTTGGAAGCCCAAACCCAACAGAACAGTGTTCTTATTACCCAGAGTTCTCATCAGGAGAGTGAGGAAGAGAGTCTGAGGAGAGGGGGGGGGAAGAGAACATCTAATTTGAATAAAACTATTATTACAAGTAACAGTTAAAGTTAGTTGTATGAGTATGAGCATATTTGATTATCTGTGGTTTTACACTAATGTTGGTCTGTATCGAAAGGTATCATTAGTGCAAATGACAAACCGTACTGACAAACACTTAAAGTGGCATAAATGTTTTAGCGATTAAGTTGAATTTAGCCTGGTCCTGCAGCTGTTGTCCAGCTAGATGCATCAGTAACTTTTTTTTTACAAGCAAGACAAAGAGACTGTTTGATCCAGAGCCAGCAGGTTCAGGATCCACTGCCTAATACTGTATTTATTTTAGAATATTCATATCTATCCCTAATATTTACTATACACACACAACATACCTAACATGTTTGAATATAAAGAACTTGTATCATATAAACAAATTGTCCTATCACATGAATCAGGACCAGAATTACATTCCAGTCATCCCCAGGGATGGCCAAGCACCTGCCTTTTCTTCTGCCTCTGTCCTCATCAACCACTATTTTTTTAATATGTGTATCTATGTATAGTTATCTTTTTGACTGACAGTATTTTACCTTTTTATTGTTATTTCCTGTTCATTGTATCCTGCACCAAACACCAAGCCAAGTATCTTGTAAGTAAAAACCTTCCTGGCAATAAACCTTAATTTCTGATTCTGCCTTTGTGATAATGTTATCATCCCTTCTTCATGCTGCTGTAGCCTGACACCCATGTGTCATGCAGTATCCCCTTGCCTTCATATTTTTATAGGTAAATAAAAACATACTGTTTGTATCACAAGTACTCAAAATTTATTTCAGTGCTATCAACAATTTTAACTATCAACAATAAATGTGCATGTAAATCATAAATTATAAGGAACATGGGGAAAACAACAACATGATTAACTGGATAGGGGCGAAGAGGTGAAATGCTGCCCCCTACGGAGGTGGAGCAAGTAGCACGATCTTACACATTACACCTTTAAATCACATCTCCATTTAATCTGGATATCTGGCACTTGAAATGATCTGTGTCTAAATAAATATCCTCTGCATGTGTTACCTGTGCTACGATGGACAGAATGCCCACCACTCCAATAAAAACAGCAATGGTTGTGGAGGAGAAATTTATGACCTAGAGGGACAGACAGAAATTATTAGTATTATTGTGTTACTTTTTGAGAAGCTTGGCAGGTGTCAAGAGAAAAAATATATAATAATGTTCATTATACATTTTACATTTTGTTACATTTCAGTCATACATTTGTTCATACACATGTTTAAGGGATGTCATAGACAACACAATGTTGTGTAATGGGTAAAATCCAAAGTACGACCATGTGCCGAACCAGTTAGTTCTTCAGTTATCACAGTGCTCAACAGGAACATCAAAGCTCCATGCTCTTGTGAAAGGCATACATTTTGTCATTTGGGAATTTAGAACAATCTTTGAATTGTGCATATAAGATGCAATCATCAGCATAAAAACAATGCCATGGTCAGTTTTTAACTTAAAATATAATATAGCTTAATCACAGGCAAATTGCAGAGAGCCTAATATTGATCCTTGTGGGACATTTTACCAACTATCTGGGGACTCTACCAAGAAGATGATTTGAACCAGCTGTAAGCAGAATCATCAAAACCAGTGGAAAGCAGCTTATTTCATGACAGGCCCCCTGAGGTGAAGTGTTCAGAGGTCAACAATGTCCTCACCAGTCAGCTTTGTTACATTTAAGTTTATCAATGCATCATATACTTCTCAGTATGTGTCAGGTCTGAGCAAAAGTTTGTTGTTATGGTTGAACTGAGGACGGGGAAGGATACAATGATGTTATCAAACAGGTCACATGCATCTGCAATGAAATTATTATTGCAAGATTCAACCATAACTGTTCCACCAAATCTTTGACATCTTTAGACGTTAAGTTCAAATTCAACTGTTATATTCTGTTTCTATAATGTGCACATGATTTGCATGATTTGAGAACATACATTTCAAATAGTTGTCATAATGAGTTGCCTTAATGATAGTAGTGTAATGTTAGTAACATCAGTAATGCTGACATTTGTAGGAAAACACTGCTGGTGTGTCTCACCTGTCTCAGGTAGAGGAAGAAGCTTGAGTACTGTCCAGCCTCCGGGAGGTAAGACAGGAACACAGTGATACAGATCAGTAAGACAGTAGAGTCCTGACCCACCTTTCTTAGTGACTGGAGAGAGAGAGAGACAGACAGAGAAAGGGACAGAGACAGAAAGTACAACACCGACACTGTCAGACGAGCAGTTAGTCATCAATGAATGCCTTGGACTCAAGGGTCAATGTTACTGGCTGTGAAATGCATCTGACTCATATCCACTACCTAATTTTGTTTCATTATTACCCTAGAAGTAAAGGGCTTCGACACATACTATAATCCTATCTCATCATTCAATTATTCAAATAATGTAACTGTGTTTAGGAACATTGAGGTGTCTTTGCCTCCACTCTACATACATACTGTGTCCAAAAACAGAGGAAATCATCTAATCATTGAGAAAAGCCTTCATGCAACTACAAAACAAATCAGTCTGCAACAAAATCATTATTCAACCAACTGACCAATCCTATATACTTGATACTGACAGAAAAGGGGTCGGCCTGCTCCCAGGATATGGGTGCCCCCCAGGTGTTGAGCCTCATCTTGTCTGGCAGAGACTCGGGCATGGCCAGCAGGATGAAGCAGATGTCTGCCAGAGCGATCAGTGTGGCCACCAGAACCACCAAGTTGTCCCCATACCAGGCTGACAGATAAGCCCCAATAGCTGGGCTTGTCACCAGGCTGGCTGCAAAAGTAGCTGACACCTAGAGAGATAAGAGGAGAGGGAGAGAGAGAGAGAGAGAGAGAAAGAGGGATTTTCTGGTACAGTACTTGTAATACTTGCTAATATGCTGATGTTTAACAGGTATAATGCTTAATATGTTCACCATTTTGGTGTCAGTATAATAACATTTGCTAATCAGCAATAACCACAAATTCCATTTGAAGTTGGGAATGTCATTAGTTTTCCAGGTATTTGGTCATAGAATTATTGGGTTAGTTGAAACCGTGTAGCTTGAAAAGAGACCGTGGTTCTCTGCAAGGTCTGGTGGTACCAAACCAAAGCTTGGCCAAAGGGAGGAACTGTGTGCTAAATATTATCATGCTCAAGTCAGACTGCTAGTCATTCAGCTAATGCCTGATCGCTCATCTTTTTGCTGTTATCTCATGAATCTTCCCCTCAAAAGCCTTTACTGAAGCTAGGTATACTATCTAGCATGGTAGCAGAAATCTTCTATCTTTAAAACCTGTTTATTCCTTAATGGAGCAGTGTGTAATATTTATGGGAATCTATTGGCAGAAATGGAATATACACTGTTGCCCATAAAGTTGAAAAATTTTGTTTTCAGACACAATCTTCTGTTTACTCCTATTTAAATGCATCAGTAATCACTTTTGACCAGGTGCAATGATTACATTATGTGTCCCAATTACCCAGGTGAAATGAAATAAATCACATTGTTTCAATCATTTCATGGAAAGAGGTAAAAAAATATTTTATTCCAACTTTATGAGCAACAGTGTAATAAACATGAGAATATTGAGTGTATGAGTGTATAATCACCTAAAATAATCACAAGTATGTTTTCGTTCACTTAGAATGAGCCATTTATATCTAGGTGCTCTTTAACGGAGTCCGCCATGTTGTGCCACCATGTTTTTACAGTAGCCTAGAACAGACAAACTGAACCAACCAGTGGCCTTTCGCATTTTTACGTTGACGCCACAGATTTTATACAGAAGACAAAGAAGATGAAGACAAAGAGGAAGAAAGAAGAGGTTGCTGGCAAACAATCCTTCTATCTATCTCTCCAGCTATGAGAAAGGTCCCACAGAATCAACTTCTATGAAGGGAAAACCTTTTCATGCCCCAGCTCCAGCATTGTCTACCATCAGTGCTTCTAGTAGGGTGGACAGGCAAGTCATTGCATTGAAATAATTGTGCTGTCCTGACATGTTATATTACCAACAAAAAGTTGCTGATTAATAGGTTTTTTGTATAAGGTGTGTTATCTGTCATTACTCTGCTATTGTAACAGACCCTGCTGCACTGGGTATGTACACAGATAATAAGAGCCAGTAAAACATGAGAAATAATGAAGCAGAGGAAACTTGCTGCCGTACGTCAGGTTGGTCTTGCCAGAATTTATTTGTATTACATACAACACATTGCCAAATGTTTTCCTTATTTTTCTCAATCATGCACTTCAATTCAAGTCGCTTTGGTTTCCAAGTTCCAATGAATGTACACGCCCATTCTCCAAAAATTAACAAATTCCACAAAATAATAAACCTGAGCAAAAACAAAAGAGATCCACCCCTTCCCTACCGCCTAATTACATTAAATTACCAAAAATGTGACCACATATTTTGTGTGGGTCACACTATTGTTGTGTGGTGTTATGGCTTTCTTTCTTCCTTTTTAACAAATCTTTACACATATGCCTTCAAGTTGTACCTCAACAGAATGGGTAGAGCACCATCTGTTGCTCGATTTCCAGTTATTGGAATTGATGAGACTGTGCATGACCAGCCTGCACATTAAGACTCTCCTGATGAGCCTCCTCCCAGTGATCAGGCACAGTCAGTTTTCCCAGGACCACAGCATGTCCTCTATGAAGATGACATCATAGGTGCCAGAGCTTCAACAAATGTTGAATGGGTAAGTCTTGGCAGTCACAATTTCTTCATTCTTTTTGGGTTGTAAACAAGGAAATTGTGAAGGACAGATCATGTTCAGCAATGAACGTGCTCACACGTATTTTTTGATCGCAGACACGGTCAGTCATTGCTGACTGTCACTCCCGGTAACGTAGTTGTATGTTGAAGTGCGCAGACAGCAGCTTTATGACTGGGGTCCAATTCATGACGAGAGAGCAACTTTTTTTTTATTTTTTACCACTGGTGGCATATAGTAGCTTACTCGAGCACACCAAGAAATGAGCGCCCGACTGCCTCAAGCCACTGGATCCTACACTGCCAGTTTTACCAAAACCCATCCCGCTATGCTTCTGATTGGCTAGTAAAGTTGGTTAGGTTCAGTGTCTGGTTAGGTTCAGAGCGAGAACTGTGTTCTTCTCATATCATTGGTAGTTGAACTTTATTACCTTGAACATGATAAACCGCATCCACAACAAATTCCCAAATGTATTGACTTTTCATTTTTCATTTTTTTTTCACAAAGCATTACGCCGGAACACTTTAAGCCCTGCTCACGACCATAAAAGAGTTGGAGCCCAACCATAAACTCACAGCTTTTAGTGTCCCCTGCTTCTTCTGTCTTTATCCAAGTCAACTCTGAAGACACAATAAGCTGTCGAAATGTTCATCAGTTTGAACACTAAAAGCTGCAAGCTTATCATTGTATCATTTTCTCCTTTCATTTGTAATGTGTTTATATGTATTTAAATTACAATAAATACAGCATGTATATCTGATCATCATTCAAACTTCAAAGGAACATTGAATAATAAATAATAATGATAACACTGAATATCAATATGTAAATAAATGTAGAAATTGCATAACATAAAAATATAGAACGTAATTTGAAGAACAGTAATGAATTAACTATAAAAATAGAACAAGTATAAAATGGTTTGATGCACTGATGATGTATGTTTAGGTTTGTGATTAGCCTACTTATGGTACTGTATTGACATTCCAGAGGGCCAGGAAGGAAACTCAGATGCCAGGTATGAAACCTGTGTAATGTGCTAGGGGATCAGGGCACTTGACCCTGATACGCCAAACGCAGCAACTGGGAAAGATAAGTCAGTTTCCCTGGCCCAAAGAACCATGCTGCCACGGTACTCCCGGGTGTCATCCACAGGCTCCCTGACTTGGCCTTGTACTGTCAAATTGTACAGGTACTGTCTGTAAAGACGTAAAAAACGTTCTTCTAGGCAGTATTGCTCCTGGCCACAGCATTTCCTCTCCCAGTCTATAGGCATGTCCCTACAGTTACCACAAGTACACCATGGTACCCCTGGCAGTCCAGCAGAAGGTGGGGTACCATGTCTGCACTGATGCATCATCAGGTCATCAAAAAGTAGCCCCAGCTGCCTCTCCAGGAGTTGGGAGGAGAACTCCCTGTGATCCTCCAGAGTCATCTCTTGAAAAAGTCTCTAAAGAAATAACATACAAGAAAAATAAAGAAAAGGCTTCATAAATTGCATGATATTATGTTCGCATGGTTATAGCATTGTTTTGCATATGCTACATGATACTGTTCCTTGGGGTGGAGTGGTAAATACAGAGGTCGGTAAATTACAGTTTACAGTCTACAGGTAAACTACAGTGTACCCCCCTTGTTTGCCCTCATTGCTTTATACAGTTGAAATAGATGAGTAAACTCTCACCCTTATTTCAAAGAGCTGGATAAACTGAGTTTATTTGGGTTTAACCCCAACTACACCCCAGTATATAATTTTAATAGAATTATTCAGTAGCATTGCTGACGTTTCACAGGTAATGGTAACTCACCTTACACTAAGATAACAAAAACTACAGAGTATAATAACTGTAGGTTTCTAATGAATAAAGCCTTAGTTTGATGCTCCAATCAGTCCCTACATCTTAATCCACATTCAAAAAAATATTAATCCACATCAGAAAATCCACAGGACCACGCCGTCGAATTGAGCTGTTTACTTCAAAACAGAAGAAAATAATAATACAGAACAATGTCCATTTCCGAAGTTATTATTAAAAACAAGATACAAAGGATTGGCTCTATTCTTGGCTTGCCTGACTAACCTGATATCACTTCCTGCCACTCCGCTTAGGGGAACATCCACGCAATACAGGTGCAAAGTAATTAAAAAAGGCAATTACCTTATTCCTTTGTATTCCAAATTTAACAAATTAAATTCTATATATTTTTAACTATCCACACACCCATTTTAGTGACATAAACAATAAACATAAATTATTGTAAATATGAACTGTAAATAATTCAACCTGTAAATAATGTGTATAATCCTTACTGTCTATTATTGTTATTTTACGTATGAAATAAAACTAACTAGTCCAACATCAATTATCTGCATTTAGGCTCCCACATCACCGCCCCTAATTGTTATCAATGTTCTTGAAACAATTACTCAACTTAAATGACCCTACATGTTGTGTAACTTAATTAAAATCCAACTGTCCAGAGAAGTTTTCTTCTTCTTCTTAGTTTCATCCAAACGAGACCTCAGCTTCAGAACAGTTCATCAATTGTCCTCAGATTCTTGAAGAAGACAAAGCTTTGTTATTGGACAGCAAAGCTCATTGGTCTAGGTCTTGACTTTTACCTGACAAACAAGGCCTTTCTTGTTGGGAGAAGTCTCCGCAATTCTTCCGAGTGGCCATGAATTTCTGGTTCCGTGTTGTCCACAATCACCAGCACATCACGTACACATCAGTTTCTTTCAGGTGTAGACCATCATTAACGTTTGGTGTTAAGGCCTCTAAATCGTTGAGATCTGAAGATGCCTTTGTGATGGGCCTGCTGTTTATGATAGCCTCAGCTTCACACAACAAGGTATGAAGACCTTCTTCATTCAAAAGTTGTTTCTTAAAAGTGATGTTCAGGATTTTTCTTACTTAACAGATAAGCTGCTCCCAGCTTCCTCCGTGGTGAGAACCTGCAGGAGGATTGAAGTACCCTTCTGTTGCAAGTATCTTGTGATCTTGTTGGTGTTCCATTCTGAGATTGATTTACTCTGCTCACTGTCAGCCGACCGGCAGTTGATTCCGTTATCTGAGTATATCTCTTTGACTTGTCCTCTTCTGGCAAGGAATCTTCTAATTGCATCGAGACATGCATCAGTGTCAAGCGAAGATGCAACTTCTAGGTGCACAGCTCGTATGGTGAGACATGTAAAGATGACACCCTACTTCTTTACTTGCTCTCTTCCTCTTTTCACCAACAATGGGCCAAAGTAGTCGACTCCAACTCTTGAATGGAGGATCATCAGGCAGGACCCTGCATTTTGGCTGATCTGCCATGAGTTGCTTACCAGGTGGTCCGTGTAATTTCTTACATGTAATGCACTGCTGATATCAGACTGTCTGACTCCATTCAGACTTTCAAATCTAAACTTAAAAGTATTTTTATGCCTTAACTTTCAGTTAGCTTCTTATTCTTTTACAAACTCAGGCTCTGTACCTGTTGCCATCCTACCACCGGCTGGTGGGCCTCAGTCCCAATAAACTAGTAAACTCAGTATAGTATAGTCCAGTTTGTCCTGCCAACGAGATCACTGTAAACCTTCTGAAAATCACTGCATCACGTGTTTTTTCATTCAAGCATATGAGCACCCAGGCTGTGTGCCTCTCTCTCTCCCTTCTCCTTCTCTATCGCATTCCTGTTACTCTCCACAGGTCCTCCCGCCTCCAGAGCTGCAGCTGTAGAGTTTGGATCTGCAACTGCAAACCACCTACCCATGATCCTGTTTAACACCTGCTGCTAAACGTGCTAAAATTTACTATAATTAATAATGATAATTATTAATGTCATTAGCTGTCATTACTATTTTTTATCAGTAGGAGCACTACAATTGCCATTGCACGTGGTTGATCTTGTCCTCTGTGCTCTCACTCTCTCTCCAACCCAAGCGGTCGAGGCAGATGGCTGCCCACCCTGAGCCTGGTTCTGCTCGAGGCTTCTGCCTCTTAAAAGAAAGTTTTTCCTTGCCACTGTGCTTGCTCTTGGTAGGAATTGTTGGGTCTCTTTAAATAATATTATAAAGAGAAGGTTTAGACCTGCTCTATTTGGAAATTGCCTTGAGATAACTTATGTTGTGAATTGGCGCTATACAAATAAAAATGAACTTGACTTAACTTGACTTGACCCTTGCTTTAGCAATCATCAGGGTGGACTGTGCTTCACCATTTGCAAAGCGCAGTAGTAGGTAGCTTGTTGTTCCATAAGTGTCTTCACTCATGTCAGCAAAGTGATGTAGCTGTGCGAAGACTGGTGCACCAAACTGCTTTGCCTTAACGCATCTGTCAACTCCAAAATTGTCAAGCTTTTGCAGACTTGAGATCCACTTTTTGCAGCTTTTAATGACGCTGTCTGGCAGGTTTTCGTCTGTTGGCATAAATCTTGCAGTAGTCTTTTGGCAGACAGTACTACTGTAGCGAGAAAGCCCAGCAGATCAAAGATGGAACTGACGAGGGAAAGCAATCATCTCCTCGTGAGCCTCTCCTTGTTCTTTAAGGTTGATCTTGAACTTGTACGGCAGATACCATGTTCTTCCTTCGGTTGGTTCAAGTTCAGCACTGTCAATCCTCACTGCATATCCTTTCTTGACAATGTCATCCATGAATGCAATATATTCTTCATAAAACTTGACATGTTGAGTTGGCTTATCAGTGACTCTGTGGCAAAAGAAGTTGAGCTACCTGGGTCCAGAAATGCGTACATTGTCACAGTTTTGGATCCCTTTTGTGCCTTGACACACACTGGAATGATTGAAAGAACACAATCTTCTGTACCGGCCCCAGTGACGCCAAAGGTTTCACAAGGTCTTCTGTGACACTGGCTTGTTCAGTAACATTGCTAGATATAGAGCACAGAGCTGCTATGTAAATACACTAACATATATTATTCATATCGCACAGACCAGACAGGAACATAACAAAATACTTTTTTAAATACAATACCTCTGTTTCTTCTCACTGATGCCTTTTGAGGGCTTCCATTCTTTCCTCTTCATCATCCACCGGAGCTGCCGCACTTGTACCTCCTCTGGCTCCTCTCCCACACCTAGACCTGACTGCTCCGCCACCTCTGCCTCTCCGCCCCCTCCCTCACCCTCTAACATCTGTGCCAGTAACGCTACCGGCACTTTGACTCTGCAAATGGTGAGAATATGTATCCAGCCAACGCTATCTCACTATAACACTAAACGACTACCATTACTTTCATTACTATTGTATTAGCATGTAAAGCAGCTAGCTAATGTGAGCCATAAAACGCTACCACAATGCAGAACAAGTGTTTAGAATATTCGTTATCTTACATGTCAGCTATTACCTATATAATCCAATATCTGAATATAGCCATATAAACGAACCCGTTCACTTGAAAGACTAATTGATGCAGTAGTTGATGCCACTTTGTCAACTGATGACCACCATAAACTCTCCAACACGCTTGGAAAGGAAGGGGTGAAGGGACAGGTATTCAGTTGGTTGGTTGCTGCATTCTCAAGGCTAAATGCCACTCAATCCTGCACACTGCTCCTTTGAGGTTAGTAATGAATATTTCCTACAATTATATAAAGGTTCTTATCATTGATTGGACATTGGGTGGGTCAATCGCTGTGAAAAACGCTTAATGATGTGCTCTGAGAATCCACTACTGCTGCTTCTAAGTCGACTGAAAGTGAAAGTGATATTTCACTGACGTCTGACGGGAAACAGCTGCCATGCACAATGTCAGACTAAATAATGAAGAGAAACAGAACTGTCTGATCATCAGCCTGATGTAAAGGAGCTTTCCTTAGTAAATTTAATTGTGAGCAGTAAATTTAGATAGCTTCTGTTTTATATATATTTTTATTTAAAGATTTATACATTTTCTCTAAATTCAGGGACGCGTTAAACAAGAGGCCTCACCAGACCATAGGCGGTACTCCTCTCTCTTTCTGCTGTCACATCAGCAACGTAGGCGAAGATGACCGAGAAGGTTACAGAGAAAGCTCCAGACATGGAGATCATGGCGAAGTACCACCTGGAGGATGAGCAGGTGTTAAAAAAAACTTTTAACAACTTCAGTTCTCTAGAAAGAACCTGAACCACTGCAGCAGTGCTGTGAACTGTAGATTGATTTTTATGACGAATGTTGAAGGACCCAGATAGTATTTCATATAAAGATTGAGCACTTGACTTGTTTTTGATCCATTAGCTCATATTAATCACAGTAGAACTGAACACACCACAAACTGAGACAATGTAAAACCTGATGGAAATATGTCATGTATTCACAGTATTAAACTGAGGAATATTTGTTTCCTAATCAGTCCACACACATCTTAAGTTTTGGTCTGCCATCGTTTTTCATTACTGCTTTTCTTTGGATGGTATTAACAGAGAGTCCTACCAAGGGCTGAGCCTCATCAGTGGGATTGGAGCGCAAGTGAAGAAGACAGTGACCAACAGGAAGGAGCGCCTGCCCCACACGTCTGACAGTGCACCAATCAGAGGAGCAGACATGAATGACAGCAGACCCTTGACACGAGGAGATGAAATCAGACACAATATAAACAACAATATAAACACATTATAGAAACATATTATTGTTTTGCCTTGGATTAAACAAGATTCCACATGGATTCATCTTTTAAACACTAAGAGTGTGTCCACTTGGCCTTCCTCTCTGGCAGAAAAGTGCTGGCAGGACGCTGGGGGGCGCTAGATCCCAGTGCATCAAAAAACGCTGCACATGGCTTGCTCAAATGACAACTGAGCAATACAATATACAATATCTTGACAACATATCAATATCACTGGTGTGTGATAGACTAGCATTGCCCTTTTGCTTTTTATTACTATTTGTTTGACTTTGATTTCCACTATCGGCAACAACTGGAAGATGTTTGCCCTCTGTCTGGATGAGCATACCACCACTCAATCTGACAGCCGTAAAGAAAAATCTCAGCATAGACAGAAACAGCCCAAACAAGCTTCTCCTCCATTTTCTTGGTTACCAGGGTGATAAGTAGCTGCAGTGACGATACAAGCACCTTTCTGTAAAGTTCAGAGATTTTCAACTAAAAGCGCTCAGAGCGGCTGCACAAAAACAGAGGGTGCAGCGCCTTCTTTACCAATAAGGAACAAAAAACACTGGCACTCAGAAAAAAAACACCATATGGACACACCCCCTAATATCAGTTTACTGCTCATGGTTAGTACATCATTAATTAATGCAGAAATCTCTGCATTACTCTTTCTAAATGTGTTGTTATGTACAGTGTGAGTTCTTACCTTCACACCCTGAATGAGTCCATTCATCAGGAATGTGTGCTGTGGAAATGTTTCATGTAAAACCTACAAAAACAGAAAACATTTATAAAACCTACACAAAAAACTGTAATTTGTGGAGCAAGATACAAACTATCTATCCTACACTTCACTATGTTCAAACTATATATCTTGCTCCACAAGATACAAATTACGTATCTTTCAAGTCTCTTTTCAGGGGGGAGCATTCATATTCAAAAAGCTTAAAAAAGGCATTTGCATATTTCGCTACTAACTATAAATAAGCTACATAATTTGAATTCTTTCCATGTACCAATAACATACCTGAATTTTGGTTTCAATAAAGCCAATACTTTTCTTAAAGCTGGAATGCGGTACTTTTTCTATGTTTAGCAGAGCAAACTAAACTTCTACATGTTAGTGCACCACCTGCGGTTATTCAAACATGCAGGTAAACCCTTGGTTACTCTGTGAATAGCGCACTGCGTCAGTATTGTCTATACTGGATGTGATTCAGTCATCTGTCTCTTTTTTTTTAAGCAATTTTTGTAATGCCTTTATTAGAGTGACAGTCAGACATAGACAGGAAAGTTGGGGCGTGAGAGGGGCCACGGGTCGGTTTCGAACCGGGGCTGCTGCAGTTAGAACTAAGCCTTAATGGTACACGATCTACCTGGTGAGCCACTGAAGCACCCCCTGTCTCACTTTTAATCAGTACAGCTGGCTACAGTGGTACCATAACAGCTCATAATTGACTATCACATAACTACAGCCCTGCTATTGTCTGTCACACTCTTGATCTATTTAATTTCAACCACAGACTGAGGTTACCTTCATAACTACAGCTATATAAATTCAGGATGACAGTCATCCAAGTCTTTATGGCATCTACACATTCTTTTAACATGGACAATTGGTTTCTCTCATCAGGTTTAAAAGAGCTGTACAGCTGGAGATCATCGGCATCACTCCATGGCAGACCCAGAGATGCCCACCAGCTGGTTTAGCCTATTTAATGAAATGCTGTGGTCGACAGTATCAAAAGCAAAGCTGAGGTCAAGTAAAACCACTAATTTTCAGTAGCATTTCCTGTCTGCAGCCATCATTATATCGAAAGTGACTTTAAGCCATTTCTGTTGAATGTAATTTGTGGAAACCTCACTGAAAGGAGTCATACAGGCTGTGTGTTTGCAAGACTGCTGTAAGATGCTTGGCAACAATCATTTCCAACATTTTTGGACACAAGAGGCAGCTTGGATATAGGCCTATAATTCATAGGAAAGGGTGGGTCAAGATATGTTTTTTTCAGCAAAGGCTGAACTATAGCGTGTTAAAACTGGCTCGGAACACAGCCAGTTGAAAGGGACAGATTTACAATAGATAAAATAGTGGAGCATATTGAATTAAAAATATTTAAAAAAAGGGATGAGGGAAGAATGTCAAGGGTACCAGATGAAGGCTTAATTTTGTGTAACAATTCTGTTATGTCCTTCAAGGAAAAAGGAGAAAAGAAGTTTAAAGTAGTGGAGCAAGGAACACCAGTGGCATGACGGTTGGAATAGGGGGGGGTATTTGCTCTGATAACAGCAACGGAGTTTATAGTCTCAAATAGGAGTTTTGAATACCTTTTTTTTGATGCAATTATGTTGGCAAAATAAACAGTCCTAGCATCTGTCATCATTCATTGAGACTGCGTTAGAGTGCTTTAAGAAAAAGCCAATGGACTTCAAGTTTGGTGGCTTCCCATAAACACTGTGTCCTCCTACATTGTCACCTAAAAATGCAAATTGACTCATTTATCCAGGGTGAGGATTTGACTGAGTAGATTTTTCTAGATTAAAAAGGATTCTTTATGTCTAACACAGAGGAGCACTGCTTGTTAAAAAACGGGAGTAGTTCACCTAGAATTCACAAAGTAGGTTACTGATGTTCATATTCAGACTTACTTTTAAGCGAAATGTAGATGGAATTTTCTCGACACTGATCTAGAGAACAGGATTTAAATAAAATGGGACATCACAGTGAGGTGTTGATGAGTCTGTATGACACTGCTGAGATGATGTGACAAATCAGTGAATGAATCATGAATTTGTCGTATGGAAAATCACCAAAATTGAAGTCCACCGGCTTTATCTTAAAGAGCTCTGAATGATCTGTCATAATCTGAATGAAATGATAAGGGATGCTAGAATTGCTTATTTTGCCAACCTTAATGCATCAAACAAAAGGAATTGAAAAGTCAAATTTGAGACTATAATAGGACTGTCATATTTAGTACCAGGCCTTCTCCACATGGGAGCTGAGGCCTAGCCAGCATTGCTCTGTATGAACCCAGTGAGCAGGCTGGATGTTTAACACTATCTTCCCCCCACCATGCAGTGTTACTCACAGTGAGCATGGGTGTGGTGAGTAAACCCCAGGCGAAGAACTCCAAGAAGATCACTACCACTGCATGATACACACTGGGCCTGCCGATACCCTGCTGCAGCTGAAACAAACAAACACACACACACACATACACACACACACATTTTATAAGTGTAACATGACTCTATATTAAAAGGGTACTAATTTACTCAAGTCTGTGAAATCAGTTGTATAATGCCGTCTGTGACTCTTGTGGGAAGTTTTTAAAGTTTGCAAAAATAACTCTGGTGACATCATTATGACATCATAACTTATGTTCAGTTATATATCGGTGTTTCCATGCAACAAATTAAAGATGGCATCAAATTCTGAGAATTGTAGGATTCTGTATTCTTGGAGGTTGTGTGCTTCTAGGGACTCCTGCAGGTTCTTACTTGTGCAATACGAATTTTGCTGGAGTACCCTTTAACTTCAAAGTCTGGGCCGTTTCATCCCAGCTGATCATTTTCTAAATCATCGATCAGGTTTTGGATTGATTTCCTTCCTTCCAGGCAGCCACTGGTTTCAGTTCATTTCTATAAAAATCTACTGGCAGAGACATTAAACTGCTTACTTGTTTTCAATATTTCATTATCAGCATTAAGAGCAGGAACTATTTTCAAAATTGTCCCCATTTGGGGGCTCTGACATCTGAGATTTGCAAGTCACTGTGGTATTTCCACACCAAGATATTTGCACAAAACCAAGCACAGTTGTTGTGCTCCTGTTGCTTCTTGCACTTCAGAGTTGTAGTATCATGTGATTGAAAAAAAATTGTTGTGTGAGTTGTGTTGTTTCTTGCAAAATTTTCCCTGTCAACAATTTAGCTACCAATGAAATCTTTGTCTGTTTAATGATGTCATGAGACCACACGAGAGAGCTTGAGTTTGTCATCACTTGTCAACATACCTGGTACACACTGAATTTAAGAAATTATTTGAGCCATCACCACAGGTTGAGTCCACAGTTACAACAAAGCTGCCAGATTACAGTGAACTACAGGAACTGAAACAGAAACTCTTAAAACATTGCAGCTTTTGTCCCTGCAAACATAAAAACATTGTGATCCTTCCTCAAACACACTGCCAATCGCTGAAACACCCTAACCTTTGCTTGCCTCTCCAAGACTGAGTGAACTCAAAACCTTACTTTTCTTTTGTCAAGAAGCATGAAAGACAAAACACCAGCATCCCTGCTGAGCCTGCATCACTGCAGACCAGCTGAGAAATAAGGTATTAAGGTTTGTACCAAGCATGCAAGAGATCAACATTCAATGCTGTCAGTAAATCTAACCAAGATTACAAAAAACAAACATAGATATTCATAATCTGGAATTTTCCTTCAACATAATTTAAGAAAATTATTAGTAAACTAGAAAATTCCTGGAGAAATTTTGAATGTGCCTGCTGCTTGGTGCATGTACTTCACTCCTTATGTTTCAATCTGTAAAAAGGACATTACTTTCAGTTTCAATCATGTCTTAGAGACTTATCCTGTCACTGACCGGGCCAAAATGACCTTACAATAATGGTTTTTAGCTAAAACTATCCTCACAATTATAGAGAGACATGTACACACACACAAAGAACCCCACACTCACACACAAGTACACGCAAATACACAGTGTTGATTTAGTTGTTCTCATACCTGAATTAAAAGGCTAAGAATTAATCATTAATTCGTATTGCAGTCAGTAGAAGAGGTGGAGGGTACTCCCATCACTTCCTTAAAAACTGTGTAGCGTTATCGCCATAATTTAAAATTTGCTCTCATTGAAAGGAGGCACTAGTCCTCTGGGAGGACAACAAAGAAGTAATTAATTCAATGGATTCAACGGATCTCCAGTCTCTACTTCAAAAGAACACAACAGGACAACAACAGGGTGTAAGTTAAGAAGTTTATTAACTAAACTACTATCTACAGAGTAAATGCAAGGTGTAATAATCAGAAGATGAAAATAATAATGAAATGAGCTGTGTGATGAGTTGGCAATGGTGGGAGAGAATATGTTATGGCTATACACTATGGCTATACAGCTAATGATACTACGTCTACAAATGAGATTTGGTAATAAATATTACTATATTTCGAGATCAACCCAGTCATGAGCAGATTGTTAAGACCGGCCTACTGTGAGTTGCGCTATAGCTGGAGACCCTTGGCTGGAACCCAGGTGGCTGTGGTTGTCGTGGTAACCCTGTAGACCCGGGATTTAAGTGGATTCTCACGGAGACAGATTCTGCCGGTGTCTCAGCAGTTCAGCTCTGGTGGAGTTTGCCAGGAGACTTTCTGTCTTGGGCACTCTTGATTTCTGGTAGGCTTCTCTGCAGGCTGTCGTGGGCAGATGTGTTATCTGCCGGCATCTCTTGCGGGTTGATGCGAAATAAACTCTAATGCACTTAACTTTGGCCAGATAACTTTAGAAGAGACTGGTTGACCAGATGACTCTAAACTGTCAAAAATCTTCAAAAAGGAAAACTTTACAAAAATTACTCTGAGGCACTTCTGTTGTTTTGGTTCAGTAGGTCTTGACTTGGCTTATAAAAATAAAAGATCGTGTGTGTAGACAAAAACAATGTTACTTGGAGCACATGGCAAAGAAAGAATAAAGGACGAGGACAAGCGAAAAGTGCAAAAATGGCTAAGCGCCTTGGCCAAGAGTTTGGAACTACATAGCTACAGAGCTACAAAAAGCCATTGAGCTGGGATTTGAGCCTGGACTTTGAGCTTTTAGCAAAGTGTGAATTGATCACAACTGTTTTATCCACTGGGGGCTGGCACACGTTTAAGGGGCGTTACCTGTCTTCTCCTGTGTTTCAACTTGGAGAAGAGAGTAATTTTCCACTGAACTTTTAAGTAGTTTCTAGAGTTTACCTATAAACTCACACATCCGTCTTCCACCATGACCATAAAACATTGAATTAAATAACATATAAACCTAATGGCACTAATAATGACAGACAGGAATAATACAAGTGTTGATTTCATATTACATCCTTCAAACCTGGAATTAATCATACTACAAGTGGTTGACTGATCAAACAACATAATAAACACTTCCTGAAGCTTATAGTCTATAAATGTGGATTACACAGCAGTTCTTTGACTGTAATAATAATAATATGGACATTCTGGATGTCATGTAGTGTATGTTACCTTGTGTGAAGGATGCTGACAGTATGGTCACATGAAGGACATTGTCTTAAAGTCTACATGTTACATTTCAAACATTCTATAAGATAAGAAGTTTGGGATTGACCTATTACATAGAAACATCTCATGAGTTACAGAACAGTTAGATATTTAATTATTTATTCTTCCTCAGATCTGTGCCTGTGAAGAGTGTTCTGCTGGCCACTGCTCAGGATTGGAATCTGGGTTGTAGTTAATGACTCTTATCTAGAGAGGGACAGAGGAAGGGAGGCTGGTGTGTGTGTGCGTGTGTTCATGCATGACACAGAGAGGCCAGGATTCACACCTTAGTGATAATCAGTCCTTTTGGTGTTACTTGTCCTGTATAAGAAACAATCAAATATCATTAGAAGGAGTCTTATTGATACAAACTGGAGATTTTGCCTATGTTCTCCAGTTACATGGTGTCCATTCGCTGATCCTCTGGAGCTGACCCTTTGACCCTTGGTCTGATTCTGTGTTCCTCTGGCATGCTAAAAGCATGGTCTGTTTGTGAGAGAAGGGTCCTTTGTCTATGTTTCCTATCAATTTGATAGTTTGATGGTGGGAAGAGTAACAAAGTGTCAATTTTGGGTCTATAATTCTGCATGTCCTTACAATGAACTTCTTTAATGGATCCTGACTGGTGCCAGACCCGGTATGTACGCTACAACTATAAAATCAGTGATGTTGATAGGTTTTCAATGTAGTGAGTCCCCGGGACCCACAGGTGGTGATTTGAGTGGGTCCCTGGGAAATTCAATGGGTCCCATATAACTTTTTTCTATTTCTTAAATTGTAGTGTTAAACTCCTTTGATGGTGGTATGATATGGTTATAATTAACGGATATATTCATGTATGTTCAAAATGTATCTGAAATTAAACAAATAAGATCCAAATCTGAAAAGTTTATTGCAAAACAACTGTCACAGCGGCATGACATACAAAATTCAAATAAAATAGCATTTTTGTAGCAACATAAATAGCACTAAAATAAATTACTAAAATTCAAATGAAAACAAAATGGTGTCTGTAGTACCAAAATAAATTATGAATAAAAGTGCTGATTTTAACACATAAACAAAACATTCTCATCACCATGACAGAGTCAACAAATAAATTTTCACCAAAATAAGACCAAAATCTTCTTGTCTGAACATCAACTAAATCAAATGAACTGAATCAATCACTGTGAAACTTTTAGTACACAAATGAAACTTAACTAACGAAAGTCTGTTGAGAAAAATAAAGTGATGCAGATATGTTTGTGGTGTATTGTAAGCAGCTTATTAAACTCCGGAGTATGTTTTATTTATTTCATTACAGCACGTCCCCAAGACGTTAAAACATTGTCGACATGAGTGAACACAGCATCGAGCAGTGGAAACATGAGTTTATTTACTACTATGAAGTTCGTATCTTTAATTGTTGAAATGAAATCCGCGGTGACTGGCTAATTGTTGTGGTAGTGGCTAAACTAGCATGTCGCGATACTGTACACGGGGGATCACGTCTGCGCGGAGTAGATGCGCAGAGGGTTGAAACAGCGCTTGCCTGGTCTGCTGACAGCGAAGTTACTTTTGCTAGTTACTGTGATTTTAAACACGAGTTGTTGTTCACAATGTTTCGTTTTTCATGGGAAAAATTAGTTGCGTCCCTGGGATGCATGGATAGTGAGTTTACTGCGTCCTTTCAGATTTTAATGCATCAGGGACGCAGGACGCGTACCTAGCAACATCACTGTAAAATATATCATAATGAGACCAAAATTGGGTGATACAGGACAAAAAAATCTCTACATTTTCAACATAAAAATAGTCAATGAAGGTTGGAAATTGTGGGATTTAAACAGAGTTTGTCTGACTTTTTTTGAGAGAAATTAACAGGGATGGCAGTTAGAGTTCGCATTTAGCTCCGGTTAGCCAGTGGAGCTGTGCCTAAAGTAAGACAGCAGACATCGCTGAAGATGTAATAAACATCACAATGCTTACAACAACACCGCACTGAGCGAGCGAGAGAGAGGGAGAGAAAGAGAAGCTAGTGCTAACTACTAAGCTAAAGTAACTAGCAGATCTGAACAGCATGTAAACACAAACTTCTGAGTAAGTGGAAGTCGCTAAAGGGAGCAGAGAGCTCTAAGTTCTGGAGCAGAACTAGTGTAAGTTTGTACAGTAGGTAGTTAGACACTGTGATGAAATAAACAGAAACACGTAATTACATGGTATCGGATGGGTGCATAGACCGTGTACTTGCTGATACGCAATCCAGTATTTTAGGCAATATCGGAGGAATTTCTGATACTAGTTATGTGACTGCAATGCAATAGTATTGAATGATATTATTATTCTGCATATTTATTGGCTTATTCCTCTTCCCTATTGAAATTTCGGCGCATAATTAGTCCCACAGCTTTGAGAAAACCGTGACAATATATATAACAATGCTCAATCGGGAATGGTGTGCTATGACTTTTCAAAGCAATTCGAGTAACCATGGCAACGTAAATGGCAATGAAAGGCGAAAAAATTTCCATAGAGAATGAATGGGGAGACGTCTTCAAAACGACCAACTTTGGAGCTCTACTGCTGCGTCATATTACTCAATCTACACACATCACGGCTTCCTCAATAGAAGAGAAATTTGTCCTGTTTCTTACAATGTGTCCATCTTAGCACAGAGATTTACAGAATTTGAACATGAGCCTCAATGAGATGGGAGTACCCACCACCTCTCCCATCGACATTCAATGAATACAAATTCAGGAGCTGATTTCCCCAAGAAATGCAGAAGTGACTTTTATGTAGCTCGCTCCTTTGTCCACATTTTTGGCTCTAGAAACACCAACGCCAGATATACAGTGCACAAAGGTCTTGTGCCCATCATGGTCTGTTGATCGATCTGATAGGAGTTACCGTTTTTTCACAAAAAGTCATTTGAGAGGCTCGCCGAGCTCAAATCACACCCAGATCTGTGTCAGCTCTGTCTTCCAGCTAGACACAGGTGTTCGAACCAGCTCGTTAAGAGAGTCTTTGATCTTTGGGATGTTTACAAACACAGAAACACGCACGCACGTACTCACGCACACACAGAAAGCTGTTTACAAATTAGTGCTCATAGAGAGAGATTACAGTTCAGACTGGAGAGTGCAACACTAAACACAGCAGCAAGCATATTGAATTTTCTTTGAGCTTTGAGCTACAGGAACTGTTCAACCATCGTAGTAGCTCTGCCATAGCAATACACACACACACACACACACACAAAAACCCCACCACCCCATTGTTATCACTGAAGGTAGGCTAAATAACAGAAACACCTCTGTATAATTTAAAATACACTACATCCTCCACAGTGATAAATTGAAGTCACAACTGTCTAAAACAATTTTAATAATAAATTGCCAACTGAGTATATTAGTAATTATCAGGTGTATGCTCAGGCTCCAAAGTGCCTAACTACAATTAATTGGTTGATTTTGTTGCTGTTCTAACCAGGGAACTGATATATCTGGTAACCTAAAGAGGTTCTTTTTTTTTTTAGATTTATCATATATTATTATTATCACCCTATAACATGTTTAACCCTCCCTCCCCATTTTCAAAAGTAAAATTTTAACTGACTTTGTAATTTTATCTGAGAACATTTATACACAGTGATTTACTTCTACTGATGTCTTTTCACTAACAGTAGTGACACTGTTCACGTGTTGATGTGCTGACATCAGTGTGATGTCCCATCTCCAGTCAGTTTCTGTTACTGGTAGAGTTTATCACTGCTCTTTCTGACCACAGTTAATGTTGCTGTTTTTTCATCACAGTGTCTAACTACCTGCTGTACATTTAAACTTACACTATTTCTGCTCCAGCACTTAGAGCTCTCTGCTACTTTTAGCAACTTACACTAACTCAGAAGTTGTTTACATGCTGTTCAGATCTGCTAGTTACTTTAGCTTAGCAGTTACCACTAGCTTCTCTTTCTCTCCCTCTCTCTAGCTTGCTCGGTGCAGTGATGTTGTAACTTCAGTGTAGAGGATTGTGATCTTTATTACATCTTTAGCAATGTCTGCTGTCTTACTTTAGGTACAGCTCCACTCACTAACCGGAGCTATCTGTCAATTCTAACTGCCATCCCTGAAAATTTCCCTCAAAAAAGTCAAACTCTTTTTAAATCCCTCAATTTCCAACCTATTTTTATATAGAAAATGTAGAGGTTTTTTTGTCCTGTATCACCCAGTTTTGGTCTCATTCTGATATCTTTCACAGTTTTTGAGGAAGTTATGGGAGTACCCTCCACCTCTCCCACTGACTGCAACACAAATTCAGGAGCAGGTGTTACTGGGCAGAAATGGGCAAAGCTGATTCTGATTGGCTAATTGAACTCATTAATTCTTAGCCTTTTAACTCAGGTATGAGAACAAGGTAAATCAACACAGTGTATTTGCCTGTACTTGTGTGTGCATGTTGATGTGTGGTTAGTTGCGTGTGTGTACATGTCTTTCTATAATTGCGAGGATAATTTTAGCTAAAAACCATTACTGTACTGTCATTTTGGCCAGGTCAGTGTCAGGATAAGTCATATAACATGAATGAAACTGAAATCAAATGTCCTTTGTACAGATTGAAACATGAGGAGTGAAGTACACACACAAAGCAGCAGGCACATTAAAAATTTCTCCAGGAATTTTCTAGTTTTTTTTATTAATTGTCCATTGTCCATTTGCCTGATGTTGTAACACCAAAATTTCTCATATTTGAGACAAAAGTCATTTTAGTGGCACGTATCTGTCTATGACATTTTATTTGTACTAGAAAGTCGATTATAAATTACACTGTTATTCTACATGTTGTTAAAACAATGTAATGTCGGACTATTTTCCATGAAGGATGTTAAAATGGACGCTGACGGAGCCATGGAGGCTGTGGAGGGTTGAAGCTGCAGTCTGCGCCTGCCCTCAGGCAGAGAGCTATTACGTAACAGATAATGGATCCATCCTGAACACATCAGCATCATCGCACTAAGCCGAGCTGTCTGTGGGCCACATTATACATGCTCAGCCATGTCTCCATTACAATACACAGTCATTTCCAGCCAGCAAAAACAGCCATTTTGGACCAGATCGGCATTTTCGCTCCAGTCATTCACTCATTTTATCATCTGTGACATTTTATCAATTCTATTTTATCACAGCGATGTTAACGAAAACATCAAACTCCGGTAGGAATCATCAGTAGAGAAAATCAAAGTTGCTCTGAGCAGCTTAACGTTTCCAATGATCATGTTTCTGGGTATTTTGCTGTGACATGAAACATATATATCATATTATTATAAAATAATATATATATATATATTTTTTTAACAAAAAAAACAAACATATTATACTAACTTGATTAGGAATTCTGAGGTGTACGGTGATTTAAGTGAATTTAATATACAACCTACAGAATTTTGAAATGAATATAAAATCGCCTGGATAAAAGCAGGATAAACAATCGTACATGTTGTTCAAGTAATAACAAAATATGAGTAAAATGGCGGGTCATCCACTCACCGCGCCTCCGTCCTTCATGATGATCTTCTTGACCAGCACCACTCGGCCGGTGCCCGCCGGTGGCTCCCCCGCCATCTCTTCACACCTGCCGCGGGTCACGAAGCAACCATGCCGCGTAGATATCCGCGGTTCTCCAGGTGCTTCCAGGATGTCTCCTTATTGAGCCCCAAATAGGCTAAACTGACTTAAAGGATATAGCAAAATATGAACCGTGACAGATATTATCCACAACTTCTTCCGGCAAATTCTCCGTTAGATCGTCGACGGTTCGCAGCTCTCACAGTAACCGCACTGACACTGTCAAGCTAGACGGAAGCTAGTGGACTTCCTGTTTGGGCTGAGCTTCTTTTCAGAACAAAATCATAGTTTCTAATACGCCACGCTTACTGGCCTCAGACTTTGGTCGCAGGTTTTCCCAACCAAACATTATTTACAGTATTAGTATGAACTTTGTGAAACTGAGAGAAACCCTTGTGCATTTGCTTGGTTTACCACAATCTTCATTGCCTTCTTTGGAAAAATGTATTCACTGAATATGATTTTGAGTTTTTTTTTACAATCTGTGTAAAATTATTAATTAGACTGTAAATTCCATTTCATAATTCAAAGTAGGTTTTGGGTCCTAGACCGATCTTCTATAGACTACTACGAAAAAACGATTGCTTAAAATACAAAAACAAACCATAATCTAAATCCAGGTGTCTGGCACTGAGAGGTCCCTTAATGTATCACTTAATTTGAAAAGCAAAAACTTAACCCCTTAAAAACACCTTGATTTCATAATCACTTAAATAATAACATTTTTTTTAGGTAAGACGTTAAATATACATTAACATTTAAAATCTATGCAAGTTCTCGAATAAAGATTCTCTTAAAATCCCATGAACAATACCTTAATCAAATAGTTATTGGGTATAATGTTTTCAATGGATTTAAAAAAACAATGGGTTTTTGCTATATTTTCTGGCTGGAGCCAAATATTTTTCACATTTGACCAAGTATTTGAAGTACCAAAGGAAAAGTGTCTCAGTTTCCCACAGACCGGACAACTCTTCCTGGATCAGTACTGCAATTTGATACATTTAAATAAACTTTTACATGTTTTTTCTCTTTCATTTAATTTAACATTTATTTTGAAAGTCGAGTTACTCTCTTACTCTACATCTTGTGTCACTGGCGAAACTTGACATAGTCAATGCAGAACGGTGTGGTTCATTGTGGGTTCTTAAGGACCTGGCCCGGGTCTTTGCCTCGCTGATCAGCTGTTGGTCAAAACGGCAAAGAAAACAAAAAACAAGGTACATTTTTTTTTGAAAACCTTAAAAATGTGATTAAAAAAGGAATGGTAACACAACGGACAGACAACACGACGCAGTCTGTTAATGCATCTCTCGGCTCGGAGCCCGAGGGAAAGACTGTTACATCAAGACAGAAACAATCACAACCAGACCGGAAATTAGATCTAGCTTTTACAATCAAAGCGCCTGAAGAGAACAGTATACCAATGCATTTGATTGAATTGAATTAATTTTGTTTTCATTTTTATCTTTACTTTAAACACATGATTTATTATCTCTTATCAGGGAGTTTTCCATCAGTATTTAAATTGTCAACATGTGCTCTTTATTTTGAAAATGAAGCAGTATTCCTGTTTGTCACGTGTCAGTAGCTCTCTCTCTCTCTCTCTCTCTCTCTCTCTCTCTCTCTCTCTGTGTGTGTGTGTGTGTGTGTGTGTGTGTGTGTGTGTGTGTGAATAAAACATGATTAAAAAAGAGTAGTGACGGTGGGAAACGTGACGCCTTATATCATCAATCAGTAGAGGAGACGATTTAAAGCTCGTCGCCACGTTTACACCGTTTTATTATTGAATGAATCCTGTTTAAGAATTATGAAGGTTAGGATATGTAATTGTCCTCCTCTTAATCCCTTTGAAAAATTTCTGAAAATGAAAACAAGGGGACAATATTTGTCATTCAATATCTGTGTGGTAAATAACTCTTTTAGATAGATAGATAGATAGATAGATAGATAGATAGATAGATAGATAGATAGATAGATAGATTGATAGATGATATTGAGTTTCTGTTGCTGATAAGTTTTTTGTTTTTGTTAAGCAATCATACTACAATAATTATTTTAATTCTTATGTCAAAGCTACCATGGCAACAGAGTTTTCTTTTTTCCCAGTGTCTCACTCTGTCCTGTTAGATATATAACATACAGCTGACCAGAGCAGATCACCAATATGTTTGGAGGTGTTGCTAGGTAACAGTGTACCTGTAGAGGAAAGTGGATCTTACCTGTAAGCTGAGACGCAGAGGACAGCAGTTGAACTGTGAGCTGTGATGACTCATCTGTGGCTCAGAGCAGCTTCAACAAAACCACGATCTAACCAGAAAACCAAGAAGGCGACATTCTGACAGACACAAACCTCAACAGGTAGGTTTTATGAAGATAACTGGAAAACATCAAAATATATCCATCAAGGCCACACAATTCTCTCAGTGCGTTATGTTTATTACATAAAATGTAGAGAATTTATTCATTTGCATCAAAATATATCAATTTAAGTTCATAATGTTGCTGTAGCACTAACTAGTGGTGAAATGGCATCAAATGTTGCAGGTTCACTCACACTCAGGAGTTGATATCTGTCTTTAACTTGAACCAGCACAAAGTGTTTAAGAGTAATGGTAGATTATGTGAAACAGGTGTGATAAAAATTTTCACCAGACTTTTGTTTCTTTGAGTCACAGTTCAGGAATGTCATGTGATTCCTGTGTGTGTGTGTGTGTGTGTGTGTGTGTGTGTGTGTGTGTGTGTGAGAGAGACAGTAGATGTGAAGATGGCATTAGCCAGTGGTCACTGGCTGGAGATAGAGATGAGGGGAGAGGCCCCAAGACCAAGGTGAGTCACATTCTTACTCTTACAGATGAAAAGCTCTACACATTTGAAAGCTGAGGCCGTGAGATACATCGTACACTATAGCATCAACTGGGCTGGTGTAACCAGTAGGTTCATCTGCTTTCTTATTGTTTGTGTGTTTGACCCCTCTTAGTGTTCCTGTCTTCTTTCACAGGTATGGACACACGTTAGCTGTGGCAGGAAATGTTGCCTTCCTGTTTGGAGGAGCCTCCAGCATCAACCAAGAGGTGATTTGAATTTTTTCTCCTTTTTCAAGCCCTTTTTATTCAGGTAGATTTGATGAACAGCTGCCTGCTTCCCGTTTACACTCAAAACATCTGGAGGGTACATTATTTTTTGGTAACTTCTTCTCATTTATTTAGGAGGACAAACCTGTTTACTTCAGCGACTTCTACATGTTAACAGGTAAAAATGAAAGATGACTACATATGCTATGGAGCTGCCAAAGTCCTGAAAGATATTTTTTGTTGTGTGTGCAAAAGATATTTAAGGTGCCCTGTGGACCACTATTGTGCAGTGTTTTTGCTAGCAGGTCCATTATGATTAATTTTTATTAATATATTTCAAAATTGATTTTTTTTTAATGTATTTATTTCCATTCATTATTAATTTCCCAGTAAGTCCAATTTGGTCCTCCACATGGAGCAACACAGACAGTAACATCCGCAGATTCCCTGATGAGACAAACTCTGATAGAGTCTCGGTCTGTAAACCCAGGAAAGCTGTTAACCAGAGGCCTGTACTACGAAGCAAGTTCAACATACCCAGGATAACTTTTAGTTATCTGGCTTGACTGAACCTAACATTGATCGTCCTTATAACCTGCACTACAAAGCAGGTTATCAAGGGGCTCAGTTAACCCTGGGTTTACCTATCTGGTTACAAGCGCGTTCATGTGAAAGAGGCGGAGTTGATAAGCAACATCGTCAGAACCATGAATGAAGTAGCCTACTTAATATGATATGAGAAGAAACGCTGATGCTTAGTGGTAAGTTCGGTTATAGCAACGTCCAAAAGTGATATTCAACAAAGTGAGATGTAAACAATATGATCACATAACTGGAATAAAAATATTATTTCAATGTTTAAATATAATCACATTTAAAGTCAGACTTAAGATATATTGTAAATAAGTGCATGAATTATCATTACGTTTGAGTTTTTTCGCTCTTTTGTCTGATGATGAACATCTGTTATGAACATGAGATGCAAATAAAACAGTTAAAGTTAATGTCGGATTGTTTCTGCTGGGCATGCTTTTGTTTGTAGTTTCTCCTGATGCTGTGACATGGGAGGAGATTCCTCAGAGCGGAGAAGTACCCTCAGCCAGAGAGGGACACACTCTCTGGTAAACTACAGGACTGACTAACTTCAGTTATTACTCAATATTTATACACACAATGGAAGTAATAAGCATAAAATGGTGAATCAAGACAATAGAGACAACATACGTTTTTTTATTGTATTATGTTTTACATGATTTATCACTTGTGTCTTAACAGTAGTTCAAGTAAGCTTTGCATTATTGTCCACATCAGTATTTAGCTCCCGGGCTAACACAAAGTTAACAAAGTCAGTTCTGTTTGGGCTAGCTTTATTTAACAGTTTAAAAAGCACCTTGCAAACAGATGAAGCTTAATATTTTTTAGAAATTTAATAATTTAAACAAATTTTAAATATAAAAGACTGAAATGGTGAAAATGTTAAAGATGTTTCTAAAAGGATTTTGCATGTTCGATAGGCACGCCACAGTTTTGGTTGATAATTGCAGCACATCATTGTTTTTCATCATTTTTTGCCTAGAACCAGATCAGTGAGCTGCATGCTGCGCAGAAATGTTGATCCTCGATGGCATCAGCAGCACTAGCAATGACAACACTCTATAACAAATATTCAAATACATTTTTACTGTTCTAATTTTGTCATTTTTCCTTCTCAGTGTTGTGAAAGGAAAGTTGTATCTGTTTGGTGGAGTGTCCAGCCCCAACGCCACTGAGTGTCTCCCAGGAGTCTACAGCTTTGATATAGGTGAGGATATTAAATAGCAGGTGGAGGAAAAGAAGCCTGTTTTTTTCCTTTTTTTGCTTTTTGTGTGTTGGTGTGTGTGTGAGTGTTGCAAAGTCAAACATGGCTGTGATGGTATTTTCTTTTTCTAACAGTGTCTTTGACGTGGGATTGCTTAGCAACTGGGGGTGTGGCCCTCAGAACCCTCAGCCACAGCTCTGTTGCTGTGGGAGACAATATCTATGTGTATGGAGGCATTCTGGGAGGGAGTCCAATTGACGATCTCCTGGTCTTCAGCACAGGTCCAAAAAATAAAAATACACATGCAGCATTATTATCTTGATTGTCATCTTTCCTTCCATTTGTATAAAAATCGATGTACAAAAACTACTTCCTGCTTAAAAACAAACAAACAAAACAAAGCAAAAAACCAACAGTAATTTTTCAACTACTTTCTGTATCTAGCTCTCAAACTCTCTGCTGTGTTTCAGTGTCTCTCACCTGGACGCCAGTTAAAACTAGTGGATCGCTTCCTCCTGCCCTGTGAGACTCTTGGTTCCACTGATTATTATAAATTCACAGAAGGTTTATAAGAGAAATGCTGCATCAGATTAGATTCAAATATACATTTTTTATTGCCAGTCAGTGTATAATATGAGTTTCTAATACCCAGTATCTGCAGCTTACTAACAATAACGTACACTGAGAAAAAATGTTGCATATGTGTGTTGATTGTGTGTGTTTCTTGTGTGTGTAGGTGTGGTCATAGTTTTGCTGTGGTTGGTGATCAGGTGTTCATGTTTGGAGGTTATGGAGCAGGTGGAGACTTCTGTAAAGACATCCATGTCCTCAACACAGGTAGACACTGTGACAATGTAACACAACTAAACACACTTGGTTCACCCATCCACATACAGGTAAAAGAAAGAGTGAGAAGTGATTTCATGGAAATCAAAGGGTGTGTAGATAGCACTGTCTGCCAGTTTGAAAATTAAAGTTAGTCTATTTCATGATATGTTTTACTTCAGATATATCAGGATTATACTTTGAAGTATGCATTTGGAATGAAAATCAATAGAAGCTCCATCTGAATTTTAAATTTTGACAGAAATAATGTAAAACCATATCAATGAAAGTGAAGTAAAGAACATAATAAATATTTTATGGACTGATTTCAATTTAATATAGTATATTGAAATGTTTAAAGGTGCCCAATGGAGTTTTCTGTAAAAAAAAAAAACAAAAAACAAAAAAACTTATGTTTACATTCTGTTACTCATCAAAACACATGGTGTGTATTTTTCTATCGCATAAAACATGCAAAGCTGATTTTTCAGTGTCTTCAATCCAGCATTGTGTGTAAAGTAGCTTGCTGTCTTCTTCTACTAGCCTTTGTTGTTGAATTACTGCATATCTTGGCATATTACTGCCACTTGAAGATTGTTGCATCATCAACGTGCACACAAAACAAACAAAAATGCCTCAACAAACCTTTAGCAAACCTAAAATTCAACACTTTTATCTCCACAGATTCCTTAATACTCTCTGACCTCTTACCTTAGTGTCTGTCCTGGTTTTTAGAGAATCTGTTGTGGCAGAAATGGGAGGTGAAGGGAGAATCACCTGCAGCCTGTAGCAGACAAACACTGACTGCCCACCATGATAAAGTAAACACACTCTCTCTCTCTCTCTCTCTCTCTCTCTCTCTCTCTCTCTCACACACACACACACACACACACACACAAACACACACACACACACACACACAACCCTTACCCTAACTCTAACCAAAACCTAGTCTTAACCCTCAAAAAGCAGTCTCAGCTCATCGGGACATTATGTCCCCATTGGATAGTGTGTGTTCAGTCTATAATTATTACACTGGCACATTTTTCTTTTTCTTTGTAAGTTTATTAGAGGTTTAGGTTCAATTTTATTTTGTGATTTCAGCCATAAATACATACAGTCAAGCCCGAAATTATTCATACCCTTCTCCATAATCAATCAGAAAAGCCTTTATTGGCTATTACAGCAAGCTTTTTGCATGTCTCCACTGGTATTTTTGCCTATTCATCTTTAGCGATAAGCTCCAACTCTTTCAGGTTGATGGGTCTCCTTGCCATCACCCTAATCTTTAGCTCCCTCCACAGATTCTCAATCGGCTTCAAGTCAGGACTCTGGCTGGGCCACTGCAAAACGTTAATGTTTTTGTCCGCTAACCACTTCTTCACCACTTTTGCTGTGTGTTTTGGGTCATTGTCGTGCTGAAATGTCCACTGGTGCCCAAGGCCAAGTTTCTCTGCAGACTGCCTGATGTTGTTGTTGAGAATCTTGATGTATTGCTCTTTTTTCATGGTGCTGTTTACTGTGATTAGGTTCCCTGGTGCATTGGCTGAAAAACACCCCCAAAGCATTAGGTTCCCACCACCATGTTTGACAGTGGGGATGGTTTTCTTAGGGTTGAAGGCTTCTCCTTTTCTAAGCCAAATGAAGGATCCATCATTGTGGCCAAACAATTCAATTTTTGTTTCATAAAACAGACGACCAGAAGTCTTCTTCTTTGTCCAGATGATCATTTGCAAAGGTCAAGTGGGCTTTTGTGTGCCTTATATGGAGAAGTGGCATCCTCCTTGGTCTGCGTCCATGGAACCCAGCAGTGTGCAGTGTCCATTGGACTGTCTGCCTTGAGATGTTGTCACCAGCAGAGCCCAGATTCACCAGGATGGCCTTGGTGGTGATCCTTGGATTCTTCTTTACCTCTCTCACTATCCTCCTGGCCAGCACAGGTGTCACTTTTGGCTTCCGACCACGTCCTCTGAGATTTTCCACAGTGCGGAACGTCTTGTATTTTTTAATAATACTTTGCACTGTAGCCACTGGAACTTGAAAACATTTAGATATGGCCTTATAGCCCTTTCCTGACTTGTGAGCAGCCACAATGCGCAGCCGCAGGTCTTCAGTGAGCTCCTTTGTCTTAGCCATGACTGTCCACAAACCAACTGCAGAGAGCTGATTGTTGATTAAAACAGCTGTTCCCAATGAATCAGGGTAATTAAGGCTTTCCCATAGACTGTGACAGTTTGCAAAGGGTATGAATAATTTTGGACATGCCACTTTTTGTTCAAATGTAAATAAAAGCTGAGAAATATTTTTTTCCACAATGATTCCTCTTGTACATCGTCTTATTATCTTCTGGGAGAAGCCTTTGTCATTTCCGGTCAAAAAACACTTGCTGGTTGAATAAAAGTAACTTTAAATCAAAATTTGCCAGGGCTTGACTGTATAATTGAGTTAAATCCTTTGTTTCTCTCAGAACCAGCGTCTAAAACTCAGCAAAATATATGTCATCTGAAGTGTATGTTTGTAATGGATTATTTCTATGATGTTGCTTTTTGATTATACTGAATGTTCCTCATTTCCCATGAAGGATATCTACTTGTTTGGTGGCAGAAGCATAAATGAGGACGGCACAGTGATATCGTCCAATGACATCCATAAACTCAGTATTGGTGAGTGAGAGACTGCAGATTAACTGATAAATAGTATCAATTATTCTAAAGAAACTTAAAGGGTTGAAGGTTTTCTTAAAATATATGTCTCTCCAGCTAAGATGAAGTGGAAGGTTCCACTTTATGTTGGGATTCCTCCAGCTCGTCGTCATGGACACACAGCCTTCATCCTCCATGGTCATGTCAGTGTGCCACTGAATAGTTTAACATTGTATTTATATAGTTATATTCATTATTGCCATATCTTATAATATAAAAAATAGTTTTTGTGTATGTGTTGACAGCTGTATGTATTTGGAGGAAAGAATGAAGAGCAGGAGTTTAATGACCTGAAGGTGATGAAACTCATCAACCCCTCAGAGAGGCAACCAGGTGTATCATCCATATTTATTTGATTTTAAAATAACATTGACACTAGGGTCTAGAGGATGCAGTGTTGAATACAACCACAATCTGAACGGTTTCTAAAGAACAAATAACACATAAATGATTTAACTATTCCAAGAGTTTTACTAGTAGAGGAGCTAAAAACCAAAAAGTGATAGAAATAGTCATGGGAAAATTTGAAAAAAGACAACTTTTTCTCCCCAGTGATTCCTCTTTGTGTTGGTGTGTGTTTGTTCAGTTCAGTTCAGTTTTGTGCCATGCTCCATTTGAGTCTCATCTCTCAGTTTTAAGACTTTGGTTTCATTCCAGTTTTGACTGTCAACAGCTTCACCCCTACAAAGGTCCCCAACGTCCGCTATGAGCTGAGTGAGTCCACTCCATTCATCCAGTCCAGGAGCACATCAGCTAATGTACACACACACACACACACACACTCGAAGAGAGAGAGAGATAGGTAATAGATATAGGTAATCTAAATCCTTTATGTGCATGTTGTAATAGGCTATCATTGGTTTTGTAAGGGAAAGGAGTAGTTGGGTGGCTGAGATATGTTAGCAATTCCAAAGTTAAATTTAGTAGTAAAGCAACAGCAGTAGTGATAGTAAAGGTGCTTGCAGACAGCAAGCTACTACTGCATCTGTCACTTAGCAACATCATTGCTCTTTTTTTTGACTGGGTGGCAGCAACGTCAAACTCGGCCTCCACTGTTAATAACTACACACAATTCTATCATAAGTTACAGCCTGCTGCTTTCCACGTGGTCTAATGTCATCATGTAACCTAATAGCGCGGGTTGTAGCTTGAAGTAGAGATAAACGGTTAGTAATATCACACTATTTGTATTGCAAGTTTAGCCAGTATCATAAATATAGTTTATCAAGTTATAGTTTATAGGAGTTAAGTCTCAGGCTGCTGCTATGCAGGTGCTCTGGACTGGTTTTAGCCACCCTGTCTCTCCTTGCATTAGTTGTAGCAGCTGTAACAGCCGTATCTGTAGCAGTAGCAGTAGAAGAAGCAATAGTGGTGGCAATAGCAGCAGTAGTATAGCTATCCCTATAACTACGGCCACAACAGTGGGGTAAGATAGGTGAGTGCACAACTGAGACAGTTTAGTTCAACCCGTGGCTGAACTCAGTTTTCGGACTGTCTTTTGATTTTTTTGCAATAAAACCACGTTTAATATCACGTTATGTTTTAATTGAGTCTACAAATCATGTGGTGGAAGCTCTAAACTCATCTGGCACAGGTGAAGATTTCTCTCGCACAACTACTACTGCTACACCTACTGCTACTACTAATGCTACTGCTACAACTACAACTATTGCTACTACTAATGCTGAAGCTACAAGTGCTCCTATTTCTGCTGCTAGTGCTACTGTTATCCATCCGTTTACCTGACCCTCACTGACCTCCATTATCTCATGTTTTGGGTACTTCATCTCAGATGCTCCTCAATTGTTGATTAAAAAGTTGGATACCAGTTACATCCCATGACCAGTCAGTTCTATGTTTGATTATATCCTAAAGCACATCCATGGCCACACTAACAATAATACAAGATGATATTTATATTTGTTTCTTCCTGCAGGCATTTGTCCACAGAGAATTCAGTGCAGTTCGAGATCAGGCCATGAAAATGATCCAGACAGCCTTCACTCTACTGGACCAGGAGTTCCAGAAACTGGATCGGTACATGTTGGTTTTTCTTAATTTAGTTTGTTTCACATCTGTACATCAGACCACATGTTAATGCATATAAAACAGTGTTTCACAGATGTCCCAGCATTTACATAAAACTAATACAGTTGGTCACAATTTTGACATTTGAAGAGATCATGTGGCTGACTGATTGATTGATTGATTGATTGATTGATTGATTGATTGATTGATTGATTGATTGATTGATTGATTGAACGCTCTGATTATTCATATGCCTATCACACTTGTGTTGATTTTTACAGCTAAATGTTTTTCCACCTTTTTTTCCAGAGAGAAGTCAAAGTTGTCTAAAGCTGCTGCTTGTCTTCAAAGAGAGAAAGAAGCTCATGAGGCCCACAGACGACAGCAGCAACAGGTCCATTGCTGCTCCAACTAATTGACTCTAATCTGTATAATTGAATCCACTTCAAGTCTTTACAGTTTTTGTCATTCGCTTTGGTAGATTTCTCGAATCGTCTTTAACATTTCCAAAACATTTTCAAAACAAGTGCATTTCTCAAAACAATTCTTTCAAACAGCACCACACAAATGATTACCTGCAAAAGTCAGTAACATGCTCCAAATCCTTAGTTTATCTCTCAAAATTATTTTATTATTTATGTCAATGAATATGTCAGTACCATCAGAATGACAAGTCCTTGTGTCATTGTTGACAAACAAGATAGTCAAAATTTTTTAGTCATGTTGTCAATGAAAATGCACAAGACTGAACTTTTTCTGTCTGAACAGGATTCAAATCACACACCGAAAATCAAAGTAAAAAATTGAAATCACAGGCTGATCCAACTTGTGACTCAGTATTGTGTATGGTCTATCTATAGATAGATAGATAGATAGATAGATAGATAGATACTTTATTTATCCCCTAGGGGAAATGTGTCCATTAGCTAACTGTTGATAATAATAATAATAATAATAATAATGATAATAACAGTTGATAATAAATAAATGATAATAATTAGATTAGTCTACTTCCTTTGGCTGAGGTGTTGTATACCCTGATGGCAGTGGGAACAAAGGATCTCCTGAACCTCTCTGTTCTGCAGCGCAGTGCTTCTCTGTCCTGCCAGAATGTTGTGGAGAGGGTGGTTGGTATTGTCCAAGATGGCATCCATCTTACATTGCATCCGTCTCTCCAAAACAGTCTTGAGTGACTCCAAACTCCTGCCAAGCACGGACCCAGCCTTTTTTACCAGCTTGTCCAGTCTCTTTGTGTTCATGTCGGAAATGCTGCTGCCCCAGCAGACAGCAGCATAAAAAAAGTACACTGGCCACCACTGACTGATAAAACATTTGTAGCATTTCACTGCAGACATCAAGGGACCTGAGCCTCCTGAGGAAAAAGTGCCAGCTCTGTCCTTTCCGGTAGATGGCATCCTTGTTCAGTCCAGTTAACTGTCCAGGTGCACACCTAGGTATTTATAAGTGTGCACCGCCTCAATGTCCCTTCACATCCCTTACAGCTTGTCTTTAAGAATGGGCCCGGTGGAGCATGTAAAGGACGGCATCATCCACTCCAATATGTTCTTTGTAGGCGAACTGTAGGGGGTCTAGTGCATGGTCAACCTGTGGCCTCAGAAGGTGGAAAAGCAGCCGCTCCAGGGTCTTCATGATGTGTAATGTGAGCGCCACCGGTCTGTAGTCATTTATCTCAGCCGGTCGTCCTACTTTAGGTACCGGAACAAGACATGATGTTTTCCACAGGACCGGGATCCTCCCTGTTTGAAGGCTTAAGTTAAAGATTCTCTGGAGAGGCTCAGCCAGCTGGGCTGCACAGTCTTTTAACAGCCTCGGACACACACCATCCGGGCATGTTGCCTTTCCAGGACGTAGCTTGAGCTCTGCCCCCACCTCCTCTTCTGTAAAGGACAGAGACTTGACCCCAGTGTGGAGGGAGTTACAGCTGCAGTGTCAGGTTGTGGAGGAGATGCCGTAGGAGAAGCTGCAGTTGAAGCAGTGGGAGAGAGAACAGGTGAGGCTGTGTCAAACCTGTTGTAGAACAGGTTGAACTCATTGGTCTTGTCCACATCACCTGATGTTGCCTGGCTATTTTTGTCCTTATAGCCAGTGATGGTCCTCATCCCCTTCCACACTTCTCTGGTGTTGTTGTGCTGCAGCTTCCTCTCTACTTTCTTTTTGTAGTCCTCCTTCGCCTGCTTTAATCTCCTCTTCAGCTCATGTTGCACACACCTGAGCTTCTCCCTTTCTCCATCCCTGAAGGCCTCCTTTTTCTGGTGGAGGACGGTCTTGATGTTACTGGTGATCCAGGGTTTGTTGTTTGGAAAGCAGTGTACAGTTCTTGCTGGTATTACAGTGTCCATACAGAAGTTAATGTAGTAGGATGCACCGATCCATAACATCCTATAGATGCTCAGTTGGATTTAGGTCAGGGGAACATGAGGGTCAGTCAATGTCATCAGTGCCTTCGTCATCCACTAACTGCCTACACACTCTGGACACATGAGGCTGGGCATTGTCCTGCACCAGCGTCTGACAATCACTCTGAGGATTTCCTGCTGGAGGTCATTTTGTAGGGCTCTGGCAGTGCTCCTCCTGTTCCTCCTCGCACAAAGGAGCAGGTACCTGTCCTGCTGCTGGGTTGATGCCCTTCTACGACTCTGTCCATCTCTCCTCCTGTAATGGCCGGTCTCCTGGTGTCTCCTCCATGCTCTTGAGACTGTGCTGGGGGACGCAACAAACCTTCTTGTGACTGCATGTATGGATGTGCCATCCTGGAGGAACTGGACTACCTGTGCAACCTGATTGGGGTGCAGGTATGGCCTCATGCTAGCAGTAGTGACAAGGACACTAGCAAAACACAAAACTAGAGAAGAATAAGTCAGGAGGGATAAGGAGAGAGCTATTTTCTGTGGCCACCACATGCAAAACCATTCCCTTTTTGGGGGTTGTCTAGGTTTTGCCTCTCCATTGCACCTGTTGCCAGTTTCACTTGCACCAAAGCAGGTGAAATTGATTCACAATCACTTGTGCTTCCTAAATGGAAGGATTGATATCCCTGAAGTTTCACTGTCTTGGTGTTAGACTTGGTGTTATGAGTAAGTGATCCCTTAAATTTTTTGAGGAATGTAATTACTGTATTTACTATATATATATAGTATGTGTGTGTACATATACAGTATATATATATATACAGTATGTATCTGTAGAAAGTATATTTACTGTATACTGTAAAACACAAGTGCTCTTCTGTAATGTGAAGCATTACAGTAAGAATACAGTATTACAGTGCAGTGCACATTGTTGGATTACACACCTGTTCTGTCTACAAAACATTTGAATGATTGATGACACGGTTTTTGTCCCAACATCCAGCTGTACTCTTCCACCAGCCTTGGCCATTGTTAGGCCATGATTGAGAACAACTTATTTCATCGGGAACGTGTCTATGTCCTTGGCCTCTTCTGCCTCTTCCTCTGTTTTGCCCCCCACCCTTCCAGCACGGAGCCTTAGTCCTCTTCTTCTTCCCAGCTGTTGACCCTGTTCATTTCATCAGAGAAATTGCTTTTGCAATGTGAACAAGTGACTAGATGATGTGGAAATTGAACAAGTAGTTTTGAGAATTTGAATTTGAGAAAGAATCTTTTAACCAAATTGACATAATTTTTGTGTTGTTTGAAGTAATGAGAACATTGTTTTGTGTGTCTCTGTCAGGAGCTGCAGGAGATGCTGGACAGACATCGTTCTCAGAATGAGGCATGGCTCCGAGCCAGAGCTGAGGAGAATGACGGAGAGAGGAGGGAGCTCTGCAGACTCAGAGTCAGTCAACACATACACACCCTAGCCCCTTGCCCTATACCCTTAGCCCATCACAACTAAATGTCTAACCCCAAGCTCTAACCTAACCCTGACCTACCCCAAACCCTAAAATCTAAAAAAGTCTTAACCCTCAAATAGCCACTTGTAGTTGAGAGGACTGATAAAAACTGATTAGAAATTATGCTTTTTACTTCCATGTTTCATGGTTCTTTTATTTCTTTTATTTCTGTTATTTACAGTTTTTTTCAATTGCTAACAAGCATTGGTCAATACTGAAACTACTTTTTCAAAACTCTTCACACAGTCTGCATTACAAACATGCATCTTAGCTAAACAGTTCATCTCACCTCCAAAACTCTTTCTCAGCAACTAAACACAACATACATGTCTCAAAATAAGCTCATTCATCCACAACACTGGCAATAAGTCTCACTCAGGAAGCAAACCCTTTCACTCTTAGCACACTGAACTACAAAATACTAACAACAGAGAGCATTACATAAAAGACATTTTATCTTTAAAGTTTGAATGATTTTTTTCAGATGAATCTGTGTATTATTATAGAATTAGATCTTCGCACTTTATTGAGTGTACTAAATTATTATATATTGTATTGTATATTGTAACAAGAATGAATCAGCAATGCAGCGGTTTGCTTCAATTAAATTTATGTTTTCTATATCTTTGCATAGTGATTTACAGTGCTTCATGTATAACATATTCACTCCCTCTCTTCTGCATTTGGTCACATGTTTTCGTCAACATCACATCTTATGTCTTCTCTGCTAATGCACCTTGGGAAGAATATTTTAGAATGTCTGATCCAAATTCACCACATGGTCAATAATTGTAGCCCTTATCTCATCAGAGACCACAGCTCTTGGTCTTCAGCTCCTTCCTCTTCTCCCTCTCCCTGCCACTCCTCTCTCTCCACCAACCTGTCCTCTTTGATCCATATTTCCCAAAAAAACATTCAGAAGCCATCCCCTTTTATCTGCTTGCTACAGTAATGAGGCCAACCACAGGTCACCTGGGTAGGTTTTCAGCTGCAAACTGCACTCAGCTGTGTTTGGAATTATTATTATTTCATTTTATTGTCAATATTTCTATATTATTTTCTATGGATTTCAATGTGGCTGCAGCAGAAATGCACAGTTTTTTTCCCCCATCATTCTGGTTTGATTGTGAATGTATTTTGTATGAAAGCAATGAAAAGTGATTCACAGTTTGCTCCACATAGACTTGTTTTGTTGACTGTGTGAAGAGTTTTGACAATGTGACTTCCATTTTGACCAATGCTTGTTAGCAATTGAAAAAAACTGTAAGTTATGCCTTATTTTCCATTAACTGCCCAAAGTGTCCTTGAAAAGAGATCCCACTGCTTTCATATATAATGTGATGGTGTTGTAACTAAAATTCACCAAAATGGTTGAGACATGAGGTGATTCTTTTTTTCTTACAGTCTGTGATATGGGAACATTTATTATAATTTAAATAAACGCGTGTGTGCTTGTGTGTGTGTGTTTGTCTTTCTCCTCAGGAGGAGGTGTTGCAGGAGCAGGAGAGGCTGAAGGAGGAGCAGAGCAGCATCCAGAAACGCAGCGAACATCTTCTCTCCATCATGCAGCAGTTCAGATAGATACATAGATAGACCAGGATGTGGATATTTAAAGAGTGGGTTAGATATAAATATGTGGCTGAATGAATTAATTATACTTGAAAGTGTTCTGAAGAGATTTTTATTTATGTATTAAACTTTCACTTAAACCTCCAATATATATATTGAGAAAAAAAATCCTTAAAGGTTTGTATTTTGTCTTGTATTTAGCTGATCATAATAGGATATTATGATACTGGTCAGGAAAGGATCATTTTATTGATTAATTGATTGATTAAGATGTGAGAATTTTATAATTCACACTCAAAGCTCAGATGGTGTAAATCTGGGATTCCCTTCCCAACCAGGTGTACCTGTACCTTAGGGGTTCTTCCACAGTTGAAGAGCAGTAAGTGTAATGCGACTATCCAAAAGATGCAACAATTTGCCGCTGAGAGGGCTGTGTAGGGAGATCTGTCCAACACGCTGTGTCCAAAGCAAGAACATGAATCGGCATCTGCGTCTTACTTGGCATTTATTTACAAGCACAAAAAAACACTTATGCTCTGCAGCGATGTTGTGGCTAAACTGGACAAAATGCAGTCAACAGAAAGTATCGGCACCCCACCTCACCCTCTCTCTGTATCAAGCAACAAACAAAACTCCCAGCCAGGTGCAGGTGATATTAGACCACCATTCAGCCCCCCATGACACACACACACCCACGGCTCCGCCCACACACACCTCCACACACTCACACACATTCCCCCTTGGTGAGAAAGTGAGAAAATACATCACTGCTCCTACAGTAAATTCAGCATGACATAGTAAAACTGAATGTGTCTGTTGTATTTTTGTTGTTTGTTTGTAAAAACAGATTCCAGCTGAGAGTCAACAACAGGACTCTTACTAGTTAGACATGTTTGTTTGTCAACAGTATCTTTAAACAAACCGCTGCACAGCTGCTGCAGGCCATGCAGCAGTACAAGATGCATCTGTAATGCACATTATATATGTAACTCAAATGTAGACAGCAGATAAGGTCAACGTCAGTAATCTCACACTGTTTCATTCTAAGTCAACAAATGGTTTTCTAATGCTGTTCTTTGCAATGTGTCCAGTTTGTTGAAGACTGTGTTGAATTACTGAGCAGAGAACATTTTCTACATAGATAGATACTCTTTATTTATACCCTAGGGGAAATTCATGTGTCCAGTAGCTCATTAGTAACAACAATAATAATAATAATAATAATAATAATAATAGTTGATAATTAATAATAAACAATAATAATTAAATTAGTCCACATCCTTTGACTGAGTTTTGGCTGAGTTGTATAGTCTGATGTCAGTGGGAACAAAGGAACTCCTGAACTTCTCTGTTCTGCAGCACAGTGAGATGAGATGTTTGCTGCAGCTGTAGCGCTTCTCTGTCCTGCAGGAATGATGTGGGGCGGGTGGTTGGTATTGTCTAAGATGGCCTCCATCTTACATTGCATGTGTCTCTCAACAACAGTCCTGAGTGAGTCCAGACTCCTGTCTGTCACGATCTGTCACGATGTGGGTAAGGCTGGACCCAAAATGCAGCCAACACAGGGGAATGAGGTGCAAAAAGTTTATTAACTTAGGAACCTGCTGGTGAATCAGGGGGATGGGTTGGAGGCCCTATGGACAAGCTGGGCAGTAGAGTGGGATGACCCGGAGGTCGGGCAAACGGACGGAGCCGAAGCAGGATGACAGCAGCGAAGACAGGGTCTCTCCAGAGGTTGAGCCGGAGGATGGGCTCGCCTCTCTGGAGGGAGAGCAGGAGGACGGCAGCGAAGACGTGGTCTCTCTGGAGGGCGAGCAGGAGGCTCGCGTGACAAACAGAGCTCCTTCAGAGGGTGACCAGGAGCTGACTGGGTAACAAGGGCAGGAATCAGCTGGGCTGCTGACAGAACACGAAGAGCAGGTATCAGCCGGACCGCCGGTTGGGAATCAGGATCAGGTGTCGGCCGGACCACTGACTGGGAACCAGAATGGGGAGTCAGCTGGATCGCTGATGGGACACAAGGAGCAGGTGTTGGCCAGCCCGCAATCAGGACACTAGGAGCAGATGTCGGCCGGGCCACTGACTGGGAATCAGGATCAGGAGTCGGCCAGACCACTGACTGGGTAATGGGCAGGAGTCAGCTGGACTGCCGACAGAACAGGAGGAGCAGAATTCAGCCGAGCCGCCGAATGGGAATCAGGAGTCGGAGCAGGAGCAGGTATCGGCTGGACTACCGGTTGGGAATCAGGATCAGGTGTCGACCGGACCACTGACTGGGAACCAGAATCGGGAGTCAGCTGGACTGCCGATGGGACACAAGGAGCAGGATTCAGCCAGCCCGCAATCAGGTCACTATGAGCAGCTGGCCCATTGACAGGACACTAGGAAAAGGATTCGGCCGGATCGCCAACAGGACATGGGGAGCAGGAATTGGCTGGACCGCCAAAAGGGAACGGGGAGCAGGATTCAACCAGACCGCTGACTGGGAACCAGAATCAGGAGTCAACTGGGCCCCGACAGGACAGGAGGATCAGAAATCAGCCGGGCCGCCGATTGGGAATCAGGAGTCGGCCAGACCATTAACTAGGAACCAGAATCAGGAGTCAGCTGGACCACCGGCAGGACAGGAGGAGCAGGATTCGGCCGGACCACCGACAGGGAATCAGGATCAGGTGTCGGCCAGACCACTGACTGGGAACCAGAATCAGGAGTCAGCTGGGCCACCGACAGGACATGGGGAGCAGGTGAGACATTGTCCAGAACACCTAAGTCAGGAACAAGGCAGTAGTCAACCAGGGACCCCTGACGCTGAGACAGCTGATGCGTCAGCCAGGATGGTCAACCCAGGAATTGAGTCAGGAGCCGACAAAACGCCAACTGGGACGCCCGACGCTGGTACAGCTGATGCGTCAGCCAGGGTGGTTGGCGAGGGTTCCTGGCCACAGGAGAGCAAAGGCTCTGGACAGTGGGGTAGCTGGGGCTTGGGCTGGAAGCTGGGTACCTGGGACTGGGGCCGAGGCCGAGCCTTCCTGTGGTGACGGGAGCCATGATGACCTCGCCTTCTGTGGCCACCACGCAACCCTGTAAAAATAGCCAGACGAGTTCCCAAACTATGACACTGTCAAGCAGAGACCCAGCTTTTTTGACCAGCTTGTCCAGTCTCCTTGTGTTCATGTCTAACATGCTGCTGCCCCAGCAGACTGCAGCATAAAAAAGGACACTGGCCACCACTGACTAATAAAAAATGTGCAGCATTTCACTGCAGACGTCAAAGGACCTGAGCCTCCTGAGGAAAATGAGCCAGCTCTGCCCCTTCCGGTAGATTGCATCTGTGTTCCGGGACCAGTTCAGTTTACTGGACCTAGGTATTTATAAGTGTGCACCATCTCAGTGTCCTTCCCTCTAATGTTGACTGGCTGAAGGGTGGACCTCCGAAAGCCCATGACCATCTCCTTGGTCTTGGAGGTGTTCAGAAGGAGGCAGGAGGCCAACCCTAACCCTGTATTCCTCTTCCTGTCCGTTCCTGATACACGCCACAATAGTTATGTCGTCCAAGTCGCAGCCTGCTTCAATGGTAACAATAGCGACGATGTGAGAGAACACCCTCGGTACATAGTAAGGTCTAAGATCATCTGCCAACAGTTCAATATCCCGACAGCAGATCTTCTCTTTCACTGTGATATGACCAGAGTTGCACCATCTATTGTTCACAAGCAGAACCAGTCCTCCACCTTTATTCTTTCCACTTTCTCTGGCGTCTGTGTCTGCTCATACTGCAGTGAAGCTGGGTGAACCCACACACAGGAGTGTTGTCGTTTAAACAGGTCTCCATGAACTTCCAGTTCATCACACTTGTTAGCAATGGAGTTGACGTTTCCCATGAGGATTGATGGTAAAAAAAGCTTATACCTCCATCTCCTAGCCATTACTGCATCTGCGGTCGGTTTCTTCAGCTCAGCCGGTTACTGTGGACTTTGAATGGTTAATGGCCATCATGTTTTAGGTCACTCATTTCTTGTGTAGAAACATTCCTGTACTTTTGACAAGTTGCTTTATTATTTTATAAGATGATTACATGGATGTGAAAATATAACGACTTGTTATGACAAACCCACAGAGAATTTTTATCTGAATGCTGATCCCCTCAGCTCTACAGAGTTTAAATGTCTTTCACTTGTTCAGCTCGTGTTCTCTCATCACATCGTTTTTAGATGCAGCAGGCAGCTGTTTTCAGCAACAAAGCTAAAAACCCTTGCACTCAGAACCAAACAGCAGACAAAGAGACTAGCTGTTGAACATAGCGCTAAATGTAGCTACCTACAGAGCCTGATATTTCTTATCATGTCCAGGCTAGCCTCTGTGCCACTATAGCTTCAGTAACTCAATGCAATCTTTCATTTAGCATTTACTTCATCTGTCTTTCTGAAAAAATTAAGCCTGGTTCTGGAATTTATTTTCCATTTTCTGAGACAAATCAGCACCACTACAGCAGCTGCTCTAAGAAGCTGAAAACACTGTGATTTTAGCAAAGCTAAACAACGATTACTTTATGGGCAGAGAAAAAACTACAGCCTGCATGAAGAAACTACAACAACAGCAACATGGGTATTTATCTGGTTTCATCACCAATGCTGTCTTCAATGTCAATTTTTTAACTTTCTAATTGTAATCTTCTACAGCATCTAGTCCTCTCTGTCCTGCTGTTATTAAAGACATGTCTGAGCAAGATGACACCCAGACTTGCCTCTCCTGTTGACCCCATAAGTGTCTAAGGGTTATGAGAAATGGTATTCATTAAAAGACAGAACAAACATAAATATATGAGCAACACAACATTCTGTTGAGAAAGGTTCTGTTCCAAGGTGTGATGTCATGGGAGGTTTGACTCACAGAATGTCTGGCATGGGCATCAAGAAGACCACAACACAAAGCGTTTCAAAACAAATCAAATCTTTTACTGAGATTTTCCCAAAGTTATCAACAAAAACAGGACTTTTTGTCACATCAAAACCAGTAACAAATCAACTTAAATGTCTCTCAAAATTAGTTCACCATCCATCGAATATTTCCTTGAACACATTACCCACTAGTCTGCAGTCAGCATCCTCTAAACACCTCCCTCCCTCTGTGTCTCTCTCTGGGCTTTTTGTAGGCTGTGTTCCAGCAGTGAATCAGCCTCAATCCTTCTCAGCTGTGCTAAGTGGGTCATTTCTGCTCCTGTAGTCTCTTCCCTGCCACCAGGGGGGGACAGAGCATTCCTCGACTTGTTATGGGGGCTGATTGCAGCCATTGGAGAGGAATGTATTTACCACCCAGGACACACCCTCTCGTGACATCACAAAGGCTAGATATATAGTTATTGGTGTAATGGGATATTTTAACCTTCTGGAACAGAACCTGGAAGTTTCAGTTTATGTTATACTGGACATAAATTCATCAGGTGGACACAAACACATCTCCAGATGAATGATACTGATAATTTAACTACTAATCTACTAATTCAGCAGCTGTTTGCTAATTTAAAGTTCACCATATTAATTTAGTACATGAAATATATCAGTGCTGACCCCAAGTGGCGATGCAGGCTTAAGTGCAACGTTAACAGCTAAAGGGCCCCCTGCACCAACCTGGGCCTGTATTCACAAAGCATTTTATCTTACCACTAAGAATACCCCTAAGTCACGCTAAAAGTTATTAACTAAAAGTTTTCTCCTAAGTCCTATTCACAAAGCTGCTGAGACCAACTATTAGTGAGGAAAAGCGAAAACTCCTAAACTAAGAGTGTGACTCCGTTGCTATGGCTGACATCAATTTTCATGGACGAGCTAGCTTGCAGGAACCACAGCGATTGGTTGATGAAAGACTGTCTGTGCCGGTGAAAACACATGCACAACATCCAGCAGTAATAATAAAAAAGTCCACTGAGAATTAAACAAATACAAATAAAATAATAACAGATTAAGTACTGTTTACAAAAGTAGTGCATTCTCCAAAATGCTAGATAGATAGATATGTACATACTTTATTTATCCCCTAGGGGAAATTCATGTAATCTGTATGATAATGTTTGTGTCGACCCAGGAGAATTCAATTTTACTATAAAAACTTATATTCAATTCTCTCAAAGGAAAAACAAAAAAAACTAACTTGTCATACACTACCTTATAAACCTAACTGGCAGCCTGTTGTAGTGTAGCTGTTGTCCCAGCTGTGGGTTGAGGTGTGAGAAGATTTTAACTGTCCCCCACCAAGTGACATCCAGCTGGAACATGATTCCTTTCAAACAGCTGCCTCAGGTCACTCTCCTTTAAGATCCATGAATCATGTGTAGATCCTTGACAATGTACAACAATGTTTATAACTGTAAGTAGCATTGAATACAACCTATGTCTTGATGGTGTGATTATGTTTTCCTGTTTACAGATACCTCCTCATCTTGTGAAGGTGCAATAATTTTTACATGTGTTCCATCTCTGGCACCGATCACAGCAGGCAGACCAACCATGAGGCTGCTTTATTTCTCTGTAGTTGTTATCTAAAAGAAATCGTATGAATTGTCCTATGATGTCAGGTCAGAGTGCATTTATTGTTTGGTGAATAGATCAGCTTTTCTCTGTTGCCAAGTAGCGCAGTGTTGCCAAACACTTTCATTTCCACACTGATTGGGTTGTTTCAGTTGGTAGGAGATGTTATTGCATCTCTCACAAACTCAACAACAATCATTATTCCCTTGTGATTGAGTCGTATCTTTTAAGTAATTCAGCATCATTTAAGGTTTCCAAAACACTGTGACGTGGAATGACAGCAGCTCTTTAAGATTCTTTGTGATTTGGTCTTAGTTAGTGAGTCCTCTCGAGTGCTTCTTACTTCTCCCAGACTTAGGTGCTACTTTTAGTGGCTTTGTGAACCACTCTTAGTCAGAAAAATTAGTAGTCCTAAAGTTAGGAGTGACACGCTGTTGAGTCCACTATTATTTTGCAGCAAAACCGGACTCGCGTGTTCGTTTGATGAAGTATGCAGGACACAGATTTAAAGTTCAACATGTCTAATTTATTAAAAGTATAGCCAAGCATAGAAGTTTGAGATTGCTTACAGAGCTCTGGACTCACACGGCTCTCCTCGCCTGTCTAAGCAGCGTGCAGTCCTTCCTTGTTTCAGTCATTCATTCTTATACACACATTCTCTATATAACAGGGTCACTCCGCCTCTTCTCTCTTCACACCACTCTGACCTGAACCTGTTATCTAAACATGTCATACTTGTACTTTCTTGTCTGTCCCTTCACATCATTCTGCAATCTCAAACGGCAATCAGTGTCACAATGTTCATAAACAGCCATAATCATCAGTTCAAGGCTGATTTGCCTTTTTAATCATACAATGCATACAGTTGCAAACATAACATATCCCTTCAACGCCCATTATTTTTAGGGGTTTCTCCTAAATCAGCAAGTTAGGAGCTACTTTTAGTCTTAAGATGCTTTGTGAATACGGGCCCTGCTGCTTGAATGACACAGAGAACCCAAAACATACTAGTGTTTTTGATCAACTACTGTATATCATGTTATTTTCAAAGGCTTTAGTGCATGATCGGAATGACTAATTAATAGATTCAGGGCTATTTTTTTCTTATTTTTGTAAAATAAATAAATAAATGAATAAATCTTTGAGATCATTGGCAATTCTGCTTTGTCTTGGGCGTCAAGGGCTTTGAGGCCTATGATGTACAGGTTTTTGGCTCAACCGCAACAGCGGGGCTAACCCTGTAATCGCGGAATGTCTGTGACCGACTGGCTGATTGAATTATAGAGTTGAGTGATTATAATTCCACCATTGGTCAGCCGAATGCAACATGACTGAGTTGGAGTTTTCCCATTCGCCATTGCTCTTTCAAAATGAATTGGCACAAACACTTTCTTTGGGGGAGCATTTATAGCCACCAGAGTTGTTTTTTCAAAAAACCACCTAGCAACAAATCTAGCAAATTTTTGGACAAACCTTAGCTACTTTCCATAGAAGAGATACACCAGTAATGTGAGTAAGAGCTACATCCTCAATTTCACACATCGACCATACGTGGTCCAGCCATATAGACCTAGTCTTGTTCAGAGTACTAAGACCACACCTGACAATATTCGTTAGCAACTTTGTGACCATTACAATATTGTTTTGTAACAGTAAGAAAGTAGGATAAAATTGAGTATGAGATCTTTTCTAATAAATATGAAATATGGAATAATTACAAGATAAAGTCTCCTTTTTTTTCTTTGGTGAATGCATACACTTCTCCACTGTGCCACCCAAAAGCTGATGCTGGTCTCAATCTTACCACCACTATTAAAGGTGGCCCCATCACTGGTTACTGTCACATAACCATTCAGAAACTCAGTTCAGCATTTGCTGCACAAGCTAACAAACTATTCATGTGAATTTTTCTAGAATTAACCTTTTTTTCTGTTTTTACAAGTTTATAAAACACACACACAACTGCATGACTGTGTGTTAATTTAAGACTGAATTTTTTTTTATCCACAATATGGTATGGTGTTATTTTGATCAATCCAACAGAATATGAAGGCACAATAAACTCTTAACTGAATCACATTTGCGACGGGAGGAATAAAATAAGAAAATGCTTAATAACTGTCAATATACTGCCTTTATCATATCTCAATTTATTATCTAGCCTAATTAACTGGCTGAACTGTTACATCTGTCTGATTGCCCTTTGTGCTATCTGTGTGTTTCATTTTTGTCTGTCTGTCTCTTTCTGTCTGTCTCCTCCACTGTCGCATTCAACACCAGGATGGACCACTATTAAGCAAGGAAAAACAGCGTAATGCGCCAGTCTGTGTCCGTGTATTTCCTTTCAGTTGCACTATTTGGCAGAGAGAGGCAGGGGCGGGGAGAGAAAGTGAAGTGCGTCATGCTCACAGCAATATGACCGGAAGTGAAGCGATAAAGTAAAATAAAGGTTCGGTCTTTCGTCTTTCGTCTTTCGTCTTTGGTTTGACCTTATGTTAACTTCCCTCTCGCCTCTTCCATATTTGTTCCCAGTATATCTCAGGGTTTGTTTTGTATGTATATTGTATATTTTTATCAACCTTATAGTGCTTCTAGACTTTTTAAAATTCACTGAAGTTGACAAATACAAATTAATATATAAATACAAAGCACCAAACTATTAAGAAAAAAACAAAAAAAAAACAAAGGCACAAAAAAAAAAAAAAAGATTTCCTTAACTAATCTATGATTTTAAAATGACTGTTTTCATTACTTCATTCATATTTGCCCTTTTGGGATTAATTAATCATTAATCAATTTATTTATTGGCTGATTCTGCTAAATCTTTTTAGCTCTACAAATCAATTTAAGGTTCTGATGAACAAAAAGCTCCAACACCAACACCTGCTAGAACCATGTCTCGTTTTTACCCTTTTCAGTACTTAGGATATTATATTTGGTGGGAGTATTTTTCCTTTTGAAATGTACGTTATACAAAAAGGTTTCTTCCTGCTTTCAGTCTTTGTGCTAAGATAGGCCAAACATGTCCCAGATCGATGTACTGGATGCACAGAGATAAAAGTGATATCCATTTGGCTCTGGGGAAGACAACTGAACACAATAAATTAAAAAATATTGCTGATTTTAGATGTTCTCTTAAAGATGTCTAAAATTAGTGATAAAACGACACGAACCGTCCCTTCTTATGTTATATATTTTGGAAAATGTATTCTCATGTAATTAGTCTAATCGCAGGCACAAGCTCTTTTATTGTGAAAGGCTTGACCGGACGTCTAACGTTTCCTTGTGTCTAACTTAACTTTCCACGGTGAGATGGCCGAGGAGTCTCTGCTGGTTCCTGTGAAGTCGAAACGGGCTCTGTGGACAGACAGCAGGAGGCGAGAAAACCCGCTGCTGTCCCCTTCGACCTCCATTTAAAAAAAAACAATAACGGTAAGACAGAAACAAACATGCACCTGTCTGTTAGCTAGCTAGTTGGCCCGCAGGTAAACAGCCAAAACAACACACACTGAGCGCTCGTTTTGTCAATTGCGTTCTCCCGCCGACGGTTGGTCTTGCGGGGGAGGGGCGGGGGGAGACTTAACCCAGTCTGCTGCTGTCTTTCTGTCTGGGATATTTCTGCTTTTTCCGCAGAAATGCTGTCGGACAGTCCCCCCGTTGTCCGCTTGTCAAAGACCCCTATCCGCCCCTTTTCACCTGATCTGGAGCTGTAAATAATAGTGAGTGAAAAAAGCGAACAACATGGCTGACGCTGGCCCTGCAGAACCTGCTTGGTCGTTATCAGTGCAGATAATGACAATATATATATATGTTTTTATTTATTTTTTTACCAGTTAGCTAGGCGGTGGTCAAACTAGCATCTCATTTATTGACAGAGAAAAGCAGTTAGAATAAAAGGGAAATAAATAAAAGAAACTGGACTAAAACAGCTGTCAAAGTGAAGACTGAGAGCAGTGAAAACCTTTATTTTTTAACACAGAGCCTGGTTTGGCACAGTTTTTTACATATGCTGCATCTTTTCATTATTTCTGTCAATAAAGTAATGAATTAAGTACAGATTTTTTGTAGAAGTTATTGAAAGATGATTTGAATGCTCCAGTTTACTGATAGCTACGCCCCCTTTTCCAACTTGTAACCAAATCAAAGCAAAGGTCAACTGGAGTCTGATCTACAGGGAAATCTTACAACCCACCCAGCGGAAGCTGCCATAGGCATCAGGCCTGACTAAATTACTGCAGAAATTGGTTTAAAAGTTGATTTTTCTGCATTTTATAGTTTTAATTTGCTAGCTTCAGTTTGCTTGCAATTGTATGTCAAATGAATAATATCTGGTAAGCAGCCGAGTACTAAAACACAGCCAACCAATCATTCTGCAAAATGATTTAAAGCAGATTGAATTAAAAGTGAAATTGGTAGTAGATTTTTTAAGACTGAGATGTGACTTTTCGTAAACATCAAAAGTTTCCACCTGACTTTAATCCAGAGAAAACAGACTGGGGTGCAAACACTTTTTAAATACAGAAACCCATTTAAAAGAATTGTCAGAGTCACTGTTAAAGTACAAAACACATGTCAGCTTTATTGTACTTGTTATTCCACAGAGCTGAAGTCTGACAGTCTTAACAGTTTGGGCAATGCTGGGACTTGATGTGATCCAGATGTTTTAGGGGAGACACAGTGAAACATCCTGTATTTGGTACATTTTTCAGTCCAGGGATCCTTAAAATACCAGTACAGTGTGTGTGTGTGTGTGCAAAGAACAATCTACCTCTTCCCTCAGTTTGGTACGAGACTCATCTTCTGTGGTTCCAGTAAATTGAAGTTACACACTGGACAGAATGACGTTTAGTTGTTCCTGTCCAGCACTGCTCAGGCCCTCATGACAACATGATGACTAATCATGTGTTGCTGAGCAACAGGAGGGAAATCACCACCAGCTGCAGCAAAACACTGCAAAATGTCTCTTGTGCTTCTGATAGGTTAGTTTCTTCTGCAGGTAACCAGCAGTGAACAGGAGTGTTTGAGTCACAACCCATGGAAACCCTGCACCAAACATTTGTTGCACCACTTAAAATAAGGGTTGAGAATTGAAAATATACTGACACATTTCTTTTCAGTATTTTTTATTGCATTACATTCTTTTAAATTGTGTGCATGTGCTGACTGTGCATGCAGTCTGTTGCAGTTGCTCCTGCTCATTTTTTCTTTTTTCTTTCTTTTTTCTTTCTTCCTTTGTCATTAAGTATTTACTAGTAATTTACTCAAGCTGCACCCTCTCCAAATGTACTAGTAGAGAAAATTCTAGTCTGTTTTTTTCACCGTGGAATTATTTCTTTCATTCAACTACCCTTTTGAATGATGTCATTCAGCTACACTACCATTGTGCAGCAACTCCACGGTTACATTGTTTACACCAAGGACCAGCTGATTGCACTGAAGCCAACTGGCATGGCGACCAGAACAATTAACATCCCTACAGAAATCAGCAGGATAACACACAGAGTATGCAGAGGAGGAATGAGGCAATAAGCGAAGAGTACTGGGTCCAGACAACAGAGACTGATGGAGCATATCTCCCGTCTTCCATCACGGCTATGTGAGATCACTTGACAATAAGATAGATGATCTAGTGGCCCTAGTGAGGAATCTGAGGGACTGCAGTGTTATGTTTTTCACAAAAACATGGCTACGGCCTTCAGACGGATCGGACAGACAGGAATAAATCTGAGAGCTGAGAGAAGAAGAAGTGGTGGGCTTGTTGCTTTTATTAACAACAGATGGCGCCACCCTGGTCACACTGCCATAAAGGAACATTTCTGCAGTCCAGATATTGAACTGTCAGCCATGGGGCTACGTCCACGCTACATCCCCAGGGAGTTCTCACATACCGTCCTGGTTGTTGTTTATACCCCCCCCCCCCCCCCCCCCCTAACCTGGCACCCCTGTGTGTGACGTCCATCCTTCTGTATACTGGCAGGCCTCCAGAGATGCATTCCAGTCCTTTCCTGATAATCTGTGGGTGCTTCTACCTGACACCGGACTCTTCCACTCTAACTCAGTTTGTGGAGACAGGATCCTGGACTTGCTGTATGTTAAAGAAGCCTACCTTGCACATAACTTCTTGCAAAAAGAAGTAGCAATATTCACATTGGAGAAACAGTTAAGTCTTGGCATTTTGCCAAAAAAAAAACAAAAACAAAGAATTACATTTTTTATTAAATTTATTGCTGAATAAACCACAGGTTATTTGGGAAGAAATATGCACTGGATCACATCTAATAACCAACTCAAATACATGAAGGGAATTCAAATGGACAAATTATGAGAATGGTAATTGTGAGATTTTTATCACGAGATTTTTTTGGACGCCTGAAATAGTGGCTAAAATGGGCTTAACATGTTCAAATAGAATATGGTACACACATATACTGGTTATGACCTAAATTAAGAATATTTTGGGGAGAGGTCTTTAAGTATTTCACCAAAATTTCACAGTCCAAAGGTGGCACTATTGGGCCTAATACCTGAAGGCAATGATGGAAGAGCAAAATAAAGTATGTTTTACAAATATTGCTTACAGCAGCAATTAAATGTATCATGATTAAGTGGCTGAAACCTGAGTCCCCAACATACAGTATATGGACTGAGAAGGTATGGAAAATTTACCACATGGAACAAATAAATAATAATTCCTTGAGACTCCAAAAAGATATATTTATTTGAAGCTGGAACCCTGAGTTATACTAATAGAGTGAAATGATCTGCATCCCTCTACATAATCTGGATCATATATATAGAATTTTCCCCATTTCATCCTATCTGTATGTGCATATACATATATACATACATCCATACCACCTCATTTTCTTCTTTTCCCCTTTTTCCGTGTTAAGTTATTTATAAATAAAGTAGATACAGCTGAAAATGGAAAAAACAACAGGCAAAATTGTGAATATGTTTGTATGATTTTAAGTTACTGAAACTGAAATAAAAAAGTTCTTTAGTCTCTGTCTTTTTCTCTCTTTGGTTGTGCCGATTATGTCCATGCATCACTAGTTTGTTTCTCAGCAATGAAAAATAAAGAAAAGATACAGCTTTTGGTCACAGGTTGGATGTGGGTTTCAGAAGTCAGGCTCAGTTTGGTCAGTTGTTAAAGATGTGGGTACAGGCTGTAGCTTAGTTTTTCTACACAAATCTGTCCTGTTTTTATTTTCACAACTGTTTACAGCATTTACAGTGCTGCTCTCTTTCACAAATCCACATTTTGTTTTTCATTTTTCACCATGAGTTGTAAGGTACAGTTTGGTCACTCGCTGGTTAAAAAACACTCACATTTTATCTTCAGTAAAAGAAAAAAGAAATATGTCTGGCAAATGCAGGGCAAGACTTTGGTGCTAATGCTAAATATACATGTATAGTACATATGTACGTAAGCACAACATTTGTTTATTGTCTGGATTGTTTGTGGCTTATTCATAAAATCTGTCATACAGCTGTGACAAATAAAACAGGGATGGTCTGATGATTCCTTCCTGCTGATGAATAATGCAACCTGCAGTCAGAGTTCAGGGCAGAATGCAATAATGTCAAACAAAGAGGCTTCAGAATCAAAATTCATCAGACACCTTCACTGTCAGAGCAGACTGGCTGACTGTATCAGTCAACATGCCGCCCCCTGCTGTTCAAAACCAGAAACAAACTGAATGTTTTCACTGAAGAGATTCATATTTGACAAAAAATCTTAACTCAAGGTCTCAATGCTAGCTTTTCCAGAGCTTTCAGCTGCATCTCACCGTCTGTTTTTCCTCTCTTAGAGTTATAGTAGCTCAGTTATCATCACATGACTAAAGTATGGAACTTCATATGACAGGTGATATTGTATATATCACTACATTGTATAATTTCACTACAAATATTGAATTTTAACTTATTTTATTATCAGTCACTGCAAGTCACAGAAATAAAACATAACTGTGGCCCTGCAGAATGTTGTCAGATCAGTCATCTCACAGTTTTGTTGAATTGTGTTTTATTGTCACAGGTTTGATCCTGGTTTTTTCCTGCAGACGTGAAGCCCGATTCCTGAAAATCAAGTGCTAAACATCTCATCACTATTGCTGAATACTTGAGACTGGGTAAAACCTTGTTTACTAACTATTAGCATATTGCACATGTTAGTGCAACATGGTAGTGGTTGGGGAATTAACATACTAACATGTTTCACAACAAAAGTCATCATGATAACATTGAGAAGTATTTTACATGTATGTTAACATGCTCACTGTAGACATGCTAGCATGCTAGTTCACAAACATTAAAAGCTGTCTAAACAGTCAGTCTGTAATGGAAATGTTTATATATCATGTAACTGACGCAGTGGGAAAGTAATGACAATGCTTACAAAAAACGTGAATGTTCTCTACAGTAGAAAACTTTTCTTTTACCTTCCTGATTACTCTCCCGCTGTTTAAGACAGCACCTGATGCTGCCTAGCTGCTACTTTGTGTGGAGCTTTTTTTTCAGGGCACGGTCAGAGTATAAGAGAGTATAAGAGAGAGAAAGGTTTAAATAAGCTTCAAAAACAACTCGGTTTCTTGATTCTTATTTCAGATTTCCATTTCACTGTTGTAGACGAACTTTTATTGGATAAAATACAGTCTAAAATAGGCAAGTGAAGAATAGAGATTAATAGAGTGAATAATAAATGTAATGAATAATGTGAATAAATAATGCTTTGTTGTTCCTCACAGTAGATATCATGCTCGCTGTTTTTCTCCCTCTGTTGTTTCAGCCCTGGACAGGTTTGTGTTGTAGCTGTGTGGCTGGCAGCCTGGCTGCCTCCCTGCCTCCAGATGAATGAAGAACACTCCGGGACACAGGGACACAGCTGATACAGGTCCGGGGTCACCTTCACTGTCAGGACACGCAGCTATTAACATGTTGTACATTTAACTTGCAGTCTCTCCATGGTGGTAGTATTTGTTTTCTGGTTGATTTTAATTTTATTTTTAAGAAAATCAGCTTGAGTTGGGGAAAAACATTTAAAAGTACAGCACCACTTGCATGAATTGGAAAATGGTTGTCAGTAATAGAAGTTCCAAGCAGATAGCATTTACTATGGTACAGTGTGGTCCTTTTAAAGTGTCCACGAACACATGCCTAAGGCGCTCTGCTCACAACTGTTTTACTGCACAACAGTGTTGACGGAAAAATAAAGTTGACTAAACCTTACATGTGGTGGCTTATCTCTTAGCTGTACGTTTAAGTCTCTGGAAGTTGACTTTTACCTTGATAGTATTTACTGTCAAGGTAAAAATCTGCCTCTGCAGACACGCTACAGGTGAAAAGACAATAACTTCTGTCTCCACACGTTATTGTAGTTTGTCTGGCAGATGGTTTTTAGGATGGCCCATGGACAGATTTTGTTTGTCTTTTTAATCACCTATAGTACCCCACCCCGTAACACTGCTATATTGCTGATATTGGCAGAGCTAAAGACTAAATTGGTGGGGTGACAAACAACTGCTTGATTGAAAAAAAAGTGTCAAAAGCAAAAATAAAAATAGCAATATTCCTTATATTCAGCCATGGTCACATTTAGCCTCTATGTACCAATATATTGTATATAAATATGGAACTTGTGTAAATAATATTTGTTCATAGAGCAGACAGTATAAAACAGTACTATGTCAAACAGTGTGCAGTTTTTTACTTTTATTAAAATGCTTCTAAAAATGGTCAGCAGTAATATAAAGTATTCAGGATCTGTAGTAAACTGACTAGAACACACAAAACCATCATCATTTTTTTTGGCAGAAAGTTGTAATTTGTAGTGTTTGATAAATGTGCTGTGATTTGTTTTTCTCCTCAGGGCATGCAGGTGTTTCTGCAAATATGATGAAGAAAAAGAATCCCCATAAGTGAGTTAAGATGATAAGCATAATTTACAGTACTTAATTACAAATTTCCTGTATCAGGAAACATGAGATTAGAATAAAAGATAATGTGTCTGTTCCCACATAAAGGCATCAAACAGATGCAGCTCAAAGCACAAACATAGGCTCAAAGCAGATAATGTTGACTGTTGTTTCATCATTGTGAAGGAAACATAAGAGTAGTCTGGGTCCGACCACCAAAGTTCTGTCACAGCCTCGACGCAACATCGTCGGCTGCAGGATCCAGCACGTGTGGAAGGAGGGAGGAGGCCATGTGATCTGGAAAGGAACAGTGCTCGACCAGGTAATCAAAGAGTTGAGTTCACGCAGACACAGAAGTTGTTTTATAGTCACGTTTGATATACTGTCCTACCAAAGGCAGGCAGTCCATATTAAACATGTGGTGTTCATTCTGTCTGCATACACCTTTGCTGAGCTCTGTTTCTTCACTGCTACACTAGTGTCTGCTTTCAGCAAACTAAAATGTGTATTGTTGTTGCGATAGATGATTAAACAGGGAAACATTTGTGGATAGAGGTGCAAGTGTTTTCAGCTGTATGTATTTCAACCAGGTGCCAGTGAACCCGGCTCTCTATCTGATAAAGTATGATGGTTTTGACTGTGTTTATGGTCTGGAGCTTCATAAAGACGAGAGAGTTCAGGGACTGGAGGTGCTCCCTGACAGACTGGGTAAGACTGAACTGCAAGTTGAATCACACTGACTGTCCACAAAACATAACATACTGAATGATAATAAATTAGATTGTTAATGCTGGTAGACCTCAATAACTTGCTAACATGTTACTAACATGTTACTAACATGTTAGCTAATTATTGAGTAACATGTTAGTAACATGTTAGCTAACATGTTACTAACATGTTACTAACATGTTACTAACATGTTAGCATGTGGACAAGGATGACTAACAACATCTCCTCTGGCGCTGCCCTGTGAACAAACTTATAATTTCTTGTCCAGATAGTGGTAATGATGCAATATGCAATAATTGCAAGGTGCGCTAACATGGTATACATATTTCTATTAATATGTATTGATATTAATATTTATTTTCGTCCTTGTAGCTAAATCCCGTCTGACAGATGTCAGCCTGGCAGATGCCATGATAGGTAAAGCAGTGGAGCACATGTTTGAGACGGAGGAAGGTCCAAAGGAGGAGTGGAGGGGGATGGTGCTGGCCCGAGCTCCCATCATGACCACCTGGTTCTATATCACCTACGAGAAAGACCCGGTCCTCTATATGTACCAGCTGCTGGATGACTATAAAGAAGGGGACCTCCGCATCATGCCTGACTCCAGTGAGAAAACTTTTTTTTAGAGATTATACTACTACTATACTTATTTGTTCCAGGCAGTTAACTTTTCGTAGGGTGTTTAAATCCTTGAGGGTTGTTGAGGTGAGTCATTGAGATACCATGACCTGGATGACTGAGAATCTGCACATGCTCCTTTTTTTATGTCTTGAACATTTGGATTATATCTGGGTAGTGATTTTATCCATGTTAAAGGCACCCAGCTACGGCTGTGTGATAATGCAATATCATTGGAATGGTAGTGCAGTGATATTTTGTTTTATGGAAAATTCTGCTGTTTAAATGAATTATTCTCAGCTAATTAGTGCCATGGGTGCTCAGCTCCGAGGCACTCCTCTACAGCTAGAATAGCGGGCTTATTATTATTCTTCCGCCAAATTTTGGCGCGTAACTCGTCTCGCAGCTTTGAGAAACCCCCAGTAATATATACATCAAAACTTGCATCTTGATCCCGAAAGAGGTGCTATGACTTTTGGTGTTAAAATTCCAATTTTTCCCAAAGTTATTCCAAAAATACTGGGAATAAATAATGCATTAGGAATGCATTGGAATTTTCTTTAAAAACCCACAAAATTTCAAATTTTTTCTACAAAATTTCACATTTTTTCTGAGTCACCCAGCTCTCTCATACCTGCACGTAGAAATGTGATTCAAACTATAAAACAGAGGAAAACTTATGCTCTCTCAAATCATCATATATAAACTTTTCAAACTATGAGCACTCAAAGGGGAGGTGCAAATCACTTTTTCTTCAAAGTTAGAGTGACAGCGTCAGTTGGCTAGAGTGCGTGAAGCAGTAAAAAATAACCTTTATTTTTATTTTTAACTCGAGCTCACGGCCAAACCGTAAAAAGGAGACAAATAATTTTTTCTGAAAATGTAGACATAGTTGTTGGGATTCATAAAATGTAACTTTGACAGGCAGGGTCTGCACAAAATTTAAATGGGGTGCCGAGTCCGGCAGCAATACCTGTCTCACTCTCATTGACACTTAATGTAATCGTCTTTTTTTTTTTTTCAAAAGAATCTCACTCTGTCTTCGCACTGAGCTTACTCACTCATTTTAAGGAATATCTGAATAAAATAGAGACTGTAAGAAACTTCTGGCTTCAGTGTCTGTCACGGTGTTTTCGGTTTTTGAAAAGAAGTAACGGTTTTCTCATAATTTGCAATTGTTTTAAGCCATGTAGAAGCCAAATTCTGGGCAGATTTTCACATTGCCATGGCAACGGCAGCTCCTGACCTGTGTGCGTGTGTGCGTGCCTAGCAACCAGATAACCAACTCTCCAAGCTCCGCTAGCTTTACATTAGCCGCATGTTAGGTCTTAAATTACATTTAGTTAGGTCTTAAATATGTAAGTCCATTTACTGCTTCCTTCGTTGCTTTTTTTTTGTTTTGTTAAATGAGTGAATGAAGTTGTGACGGTCTCCGCTGAGACAGAGGAGAGGAGAAGCTACTAGCCCTCTCTCGCTGTCACTTCTAGTCGCGTTGCTCTCCTCCCCAGTAATGTTAAATTTAGCCCCGAAAAAAACATAATAGTGGTAATTTAAATAGCGGTTCATGGGATTTATTAACCCTCAGGGGTCCCTCTGTCCTTTTTTGGACATTTTCTTCACTTTTCTTTTTTGATTTGCTGATCATTTTGGCTGTGTTACAGCTGAAGGTATGGATTTCTGCAAGAAAGTGTCTTTTTTGACATATTTTCAAAATCTAATGTCAGTTACTGTTACAGGTCTATTATACACTGGTAACACATTTTGTACCCTCTGGGGTTCCTTGCGTCCAAAAAAGGACACACAAAGAAAATGCTATAAAATCATCATATATCAATATTTTTTTCTGCTTTTTTTTTGCATACATCTCTTAAACCACTTCAGTTCTGCTCAAACCTACCAAATGTTTATTAGTTTTCAGGATTTTAACCCTTTAAATGCCAGTTTGAAGACATGTTGCCTCTTGTTTTATTAAAAAAAACAACACAGAATATGAGATATTTCCCACATAATACATGATGGAGGGATGTGACATTGTTTTATATCAGAGTCTTTTATGTCAAGACATTTCAAACCAGAATATGATCAGGGTGACTTTTGAACACTTGAAATAAATCATGTACTCATCCCAGCAGCAGCCCCCGTGGCACTCAAAATTTCCCTGGAATTTTCTAGTTGTAATTAAAAACTATCAGAATGAGTTGAATTCTGATGCCTAACAAAGGAACACTTATATTTTATCATCACATTGTTTATTCATTTTTCATTGATATTTGCTCTGATTGTTTATTATTATTTCTGTATTTTTATTTTATTGTATATATTTTATTAATTGTATTGTAAATGTATTGTTATCTAAATGTATTAGTGTTTATTTTTAGTAAGTTTTTCATTTCATGTTTTCAGTTTTACTTGATGATCTCCTGTATCCCTGTGTAAGATGGCAAACACGCATTTTCCAAAATTGTTTCTTTAAATCGGTCTTTGTTTTTCTCTGTTTTAGTAGAAGCATAAAAACCAAGTAAGTTTGACAATAAGATCAGTGGTAACGTCTCTCTTTCCGTGTCTCTGTAGACGACAGTGTCCCGACGGAGAGGGAACCTGGTGAGGTGGTCGATAGCCTGGTGGGTAAACAGGTTGAGTACGCCAAAGAGGATGGCGGCAAACGAACGGGCATGGTCATTCACCAGGTGGAGGCAAAACCCTCCGTCTACTTCATTAAGTTCGACGACGACTTCCTCATTTACGTCTACGACCTAGTCAAAACTTCGTAAACTAAGTGGATGTCCTAAGCCACCAAGACAGAAACAAAATGCAACACATGTTAAAACACCTGAAGCATTTAATCCAGCGCTCATCCTTCAGACCATCAAATACAAAAATAAACTCAAAAAAAGATTTCTTGTTGCGGAAGAACACAGGATAGATACTTTTTGAGGGGGCTTGGTTAAGTTGAAGCATTTCATCTATGACCTTAAATTCTTAAAATAAAAGAAATAAATTGGTCATGGTTTTACATTACCCTCAAAAGATCAACTTTTTGAAGCCCCTTAATAGTTTCATGAAAAACAGAAAGCTATCCAAAAATTCTATTTTACTCCAGGAAAATATTGAGAAAGTTGAAGCGAGATGAAGGCTCTTTAGAATCTCACATTTTAAACAAAAATTTGCCGACTTTTTAAAATCCTCCTCCTCCTTACACCTAAAGAAACTAAACCTTAAAATTCACTGTTAGTGTCTGATTTCATCCAGTGCGCTGGTTGCAGAAAAAAAATTTGGTCTTGGTGAAGTGTCTCAATGAAGATGTCACTGAAAAGTGTGATAGCAGCCATCTCTTCTGTGCTACTCCTGATGAGGATAATCAGGAGTTACTGGCAGCATGGAAAATACCAAACTGAAAGTCTTTAGAGATTTCTTGTCATATTTTCAATTAACAAATCTAGCTGCAGAAAAGTGAGCAGACTCCTAGTGAAGTGAAGTGTGGAACTGGTTGGTGGAAGGGCCTTCAAAAAGAAAGACTAGAAGAAGGTGAATTCTTGGACCAGAAAAACAAATAATTGCTATCATGACAGAGAATGAGCATGTGTTTTGTTTTTGGGACACTTTAAGATAGGAACAAACAATACAGCTCACTGTCACATCCAATAAGGACTGGCATTACCACGGTGTGGGAGCCCATTTCTGCCAGGAAAAAAAGATGATATAAACAGATGAATAGTTAGAAATAACAAAACAAAAATACTCATGGAAAGTCAAAATTACAACTTTCTAAATGAAAATGGTGAGATAGTTTAAACAATGAAGGAAGTCAAAATTATAATATGTGAAGTCCAAAGAACCTGTGTTATGAGTTTGACTACTTCAGTCTCAAGCTTTTACTCATGTCTCCCATTTTTCAGTTAAATCACGTAATTTTGACTTAATATTTCACAATTGTGACAAAGTAAGCCAATATTTTTACTTTCATAATGTTGAATTAGTTCATCTAAGTTTGCATTAGTATGTAAGTCATAATTATGTCTTAATTTAGTAAATCTTAGTTTTGGTTTAGTAAATCAAAAAAAAAAAATGACTGTAAAAACCAGTCAGACCTTTGACTTCTAATCCCTTAAAGTTGACTTGCCAAGAGTAATTGTATGTTTGCTATTCCTAACATATCTTGTCTTTCCCGTGGCGGAAATGAGCTTCCATGCAACTGAGCTTCATAAGACAGGAAGCAAAAGGAACCAGTCTCAGTTAAAAGTTAAAGACATCTGCGGGTCGATTAATAATAATAATAATAATAATAATAATAATAATAATAATAATAATAATAATAATAATGATAATAAACACTAAACAATAAATAACAAACTTCAACACAAAGGATCATCTCTGGAGCTATTAAAATAATCAAAAATGTCTTTGGAAATATCTCAAAACCTAATTTTCCCACTTTTGTTCAATTGGAGGTTGACTGGAGTTGGATTCTGTCCCACTTGTTGTATAGAGCAAAACAAGACAGATTGCTTCATCACATAGTGTGCTACTTTTAGACTCCATTTCACCAACTTCAACTGAACATTGATGAAGATCAACAGATCTTAGATGAAGATCAACAGATCTTCATCTAAAGGCATCTGCACTTAAAACATATTTTTTTCTTTTTGCTTTCATCATTGCCAAAAAACCCCTTCCCGTTGTGAAGTTGTTTGACATTAAAGACAATCAGACAGCTTTCTTGTGATTTCACTAAAGCCTTTGGAATTGCTCTTGTGGTGTTTTTTCTAAATCATCTTTGAATGAAGGATGGAGAAACAAAATTGAAACTTGGCCAAAGCCCTTTCTGTCCTTGGCAATTTGTTTTAGTGTTAAATTGTTTGTTGTAGATTGACAAGCACCCAGATCTACAGTTTCATGAGTTCTCCATAGTTCCTCCATTTGAACTTGGAACACAGTTATGTATTCTAAATGTCATAATTTATGAAAATACAAAGGATTTTAAGAGCTAAGGGAGAGATGAGAAGAATATTCTCTGGACTGTTGAATGCTTAATGGCAGAATTGGAACTGACAAGAAAAACAAATCTGCTGTAGCAATACAGTCAGGTTTTTAGTGTGGAAGGCTTCAGTTAGACAGTTAAGATGTTCAGCGTTGGAAGCATGTGAATCCAGTTTAATACTATGTGTTGGTTGATAAAATTATTACTGAAACAAAAGTATCCCAGTTTGTATTTACACACAAACCAAAAGATTATGGACTTCTTGTGGTGTAGATCTGACATTCTCCTGGCCATCTGAAGAAAACATAAGTGTCTGTCAGACGTCCATGAAGATGATCTGGTCTGCTCCACAGCATTTATGCAGTAAGACTGGACACGGTCGGTTGTGTTTAGTATATGAAGAGATTAAGAAGCAGTGAAGGTTTAAATTTCCTTTTTCACAAATGTACTTCTCATTTTATTTGGATCTACTCAAGACTGAAGGTTTTCATAAACTTGTGTTCTGTTCTGATTTGTACTTGTAGTTTGAGCGTTAATAATTGATTGAAACTTGCAATTGGAATGTAGTGTAAGGTTAGAATCAAACTGTTGTTACTGACCAGTGACTGGTATCCCAAATAGAATTGCCACTTTCAGTGTTTTGTTAGCTAGTTACATTTTTAAAAGAGAAAAGAACCCTCAAAGAGCCTTTATCAAAGTCAAAAAACATCAAACATGACTGATTGGTTCATTAAAGGATGATTGTGTCATTCAGGTTTTTTAGGTTTTAAAATGCAACAGCAACTGGAACATCTTCACTGTCGATTTCCTCTCAAACTGTAAGAATAAAAGAGAAACCAGGAAAGGTTGTTGAGCCATGCATTCTGGGGGAATGTCTTTAACATATTGGATGGCTCAGCTGAATCGGTGCACTGAACAAGTTTTTATGTAAAACTTTCAGTCTGTGTGCTTCCTGTGATGTAGTTAGTTGCCGAGGCAGATTGCAGCTCTTATTATAACCGCACTTAAAAAAAAAAAGGACTGTCCAAGAGATCTTAAGGTTTCTGCACTTGTGTATCTGTTTTCCTTTTCTTTAACGAGAAATATGATTGTGATCATCTCAGCAGGCACTATTTTAATTAATGAGATAATGTGTCGTTACAAAGACTTGTTTCACAGCGACGTTATGTCCAATTCATCCAGTTCATTTCACTATATTAATGAAAACAGATTATTGATGTTTATGTTGGAATGACATTGGCCTTCTATCATCCTTCTGCCTTGTTATTGTTTTTGTATGTTTCAAAATGTATGTTAATAATTTTTATTGTTAATGCAAAACTGGTGTGGTGTGCTTTGTTTTCTTTGCACCATGGTTAAACCTTAAAGTATTTGACATCTGAGACTGTTCTGTTGATGTCAGCAGTTAGGAGGGGTTGGCTGTTTGCAGAGGTTGTGAATTGAAACTGGAATTAGATTTCAGTGAAAGAAGGGGAAGTATTGCATATCCAGAGAGCACTGACAAGTTTTTCGGCTGTAAAATATCCCTGTACATTGCTTGGTGACAATTCTTTAATAATTATATTTAAGCGATCCATTTCCTATTGGGAGGTATGGTCAGAACAGACTACAGAAGGTCCAATATTTTGGGAAATTATCTTATTGAAGTGGATTTAGCACCAATATTGACTGAATCTGGCAACTACCACTGGCCCAAGGGTGGGGTGGGGCACTAGTTGTGGTAAAACATATCTTAAAACATTGTTTTAATAAATTATTAAGTTTCCTAGTTTAAGTTTGAAGTACTTTATTAACAATGTTTTTAGAAATAAACTATATAGATAGCTTTTAAGTTACAAACTCCAAAATAAATTCTACTTCAGTCAATGTTGACAAATGAACTCATCTCTTTATCACAACTCAACAGGCTTCTTTAGTGGTCATTTTGTCATAGCTGAGTACAATAGGCCAACATCAGAGTGTGACAGGGAGACCATGAAAAAAATAAGCTTTTGGAGAAACATGAACAGCATATTGTTCTCATCATTTCACAGTGCAAATTTTAAGAAATAATCTGCAAACACAAAACCTTAGTGTAAAGGCAGATACAGTAATGTATGCACAATGAAATACACATAACATAACTTTGGCAGATATTTACTACTAGCTATTTAACTTACAACTTATTAACTTGAAGTTGAAATTAACTTAACGCACGGGGCGGAGTATTGGGAGCCGGAGCAGCTGCAGACATGTATGGCTGTCTATGAGAAGACTCGCAAACACTATGGGTTGACGGGCTGAATGCGGGTGGGATGATACTGCGTTAAAGGCAGCTTGGAAATACGGGGCAAACCGGGTCCCGTACATATTCAAAACGGGACCCAATATTTAAATTTACAAAACGGACAATTCTGTATTTTACGGGACGGGTGGCAACCCTACCAGTAACTGGAGACTGGTGACGGATGGTTTAACTATTGTTCCAGCATGTAACTTCCCAAAAATCACCAATTGTCATTTTCACATTACTCTCTAGGACAGATTAAACAAACAAGATATTTAGTTAGATATTTAGTAAGCTTTAGAGCAGATGAGTATGTTTGAACTTTTAACAGAGCCAGGGTCTCCTCCTGCTTCCAGTCTTAGCTAGGCTAACCACATCCTGACTCCACCACCATATTTAACACAGACACGATTCATTCAGAAAGCCATTCACATTTACTCATCCATCAGACGCTTTTATCCAAAGCGACTTACAAGTGAAGGACATCACTAAAGCTTATTGCAGTAGGAGACCTTGAAGTACTAAATCAAGGAGATCACTTATGCACCGAAAGTGTAAGTACTAGTTGGACCTGTTAGGGTGTTAGAGGTGTTAGGAGAGGAGGTGCTCTCTGAAGAGATGAGTCTTCAACAGATTCTTGAAGACAGAGAAGGACGAAGGTTAAAAGGTCAATATATAAAATCAACAACAATTTATTAAAGTTGGTAATTAAAAAAAACAACTATAGAAAATATAAAAGAGGTGATTCAAGATCTAATCCATCCAATGTTTAAATGAATAAAAGGAGAGAGAGAGCTGTAGGATTAGCAGCTGTGGCCACAGACATGGAAGGGAGAAAATTCACACTGGGATAGAGTACCTCACCACACTCCTGTGCCCTACACACTCACACAGCAAATCAACAAAAGGGATGCAAATAAATAGTGAAGGAAGTGCAAAATTTACCAAACACACTATTATGGAAGGTGGTGAAGCACAGGTGAGGAACTCTACCACCAAACCCTCCACCATCAGGCCGGCCACGCTCACTGCTGTACCTACAGTACTTGTACAGGGACAGCAAAACACGTATTAGATCCCAGCAGGGGTATACACTCTTGGAGGAAATAATTAAATCAATGCCAGGAGGGCCAACAGTGTACAAACAAAAGAAACAACTAATAGAAAACACCAAATGAACTAAAGGCTAAGTGCAAAGCACTGTATCAAACAACAAAACTAAGCAAAACCGTTAACTTAATAGACAGTTAAACAAAACACAATTACTAAACTAACAAAATAACCAAACAGAACAAATATGGAGCAGCGACAGCACTCTACAGGCTCAACAGGTAGCAGAGAGAGAGCGCGCAGCAACATCAGGGTAAATATATAGCCTTCCCTAAACAATTAAAACCAGGAAGTAGGCTTGACTAAACCCTATGGTGACCTGGAAGGGATATCCCACTACCTGCTACAGGTTAATGCAGAGATGCTTGGGGGAACAGCTAACAGAGTCTGCCCTGGTGTACTTGGGACATGTGGTTAGCAGCCAGGGAGTCTCACCTGATCCCGACAAAGTGGCAGCTGTTGTGGATTGGCAGCCCCCCAGCACTGTAAAGCAAATCCATGCATTCCTTGGTTTTGTGGGATATTACAGGCATTTCATATGAAACTTTGCAAAAATTGCTAAACCCTTTAATGAACTCTTAGCTGGCACCAGTCACAGCTGAGGGCGGCCCTCACTCACTATTAAGCGGACTGATCAATGTGCGGCAGCTTTCCAACAGCTCAATCAAGAGCTTCTCCATCTCCCATTTTAGCATATGCAGATTACACAATG